GGTTTGTATATTTTTTTAATTGTGCGTTAATTAAAAAATTAGAAAACTTTAAAAAGAATTTTATTTCGCAATAAATACTAATTTATTTATTGATTAAACGTGTTAGTTCTAAAGTTCTTGGCCATTGAGGAAGTTTATAAAGTGCATGGAATTGACACTGAAAACTAATGGGAACTGCGAGGTACTTCAAAGTTATGTAACGTTTTAGTGAAACCATGTTACGGTTAACCATTTATTTTCTATATAAAAGAATTTTTCGGAGCTTTTACAATTTTTCAAAAGGAACTATTTTATTTTATTAAAGCTATTGACTCTGGAGGAAAGTTTCTAAACTTTACTGAATTGACAATGAAACTAACGTGTAGCTTTAACCCACTAAAGCTTCTAAACTTTTCAATTAAGTACTTAAATAAAGTTTAAAACGTTTGTGATATCCAATAAAAATATTTTATGTCACCTACATTCTTCAATTAAGTCCTTTTATTTATTGATTAAATGCCAGATGGTTTAATCCTTTAACCTGCGTGGAAAGTTTCTAAACTGTACGGAATTGACACTTTAAACTAATGGGGGAATGTTCGAAAACAACATTCGCTTTCCTGAAGTTGGTGAGACTGAAAACTTTTTAAATGAAATTGAAGGTTGAAATAATAGTTTTATTTTCGTGAGAAATAAAATTACAATTACAAGTTAATCATCGAAATCAACGCATTGGTTTTAATGGAAAATTTGGGCACATTTAAATTTCTATAATTCGCTCGATTGTGCTTTTTATCACTCACGATATATTGGGAGTTCCGAAAATTAATAAATTGGATCGGACGCCGTTAAAATTACAGTTTGTTGACGTTGGCGTTGAATCGAGTTCCACTTTTGTCGTTTGTTCTGGCACCATCGAACGTTAATAAACTCGAACAAACGTTCTCTGTACACGCTCGCACCGGTTTAATCTCGCACGTCTAAATTAATTTCACAACCAAAATTAGCGGCCATTAATAATTTAAATTATAATTAATGTCTCTCGAGCTTATTAAAATTTCAAAATTATAACAAATACTAACACATTTAAACGAGAAATTTTAATTAACTAGTTTATGGCGACGTCTTAGTAGGTCGTTAATCAAATAGGGAGAGTTACTTCGACCGGAAATCCTTAAGGAGCTTACGTCATTCGAAGAGGAAATACACCCGACGCCCGATATGAGTATGATTGATGTTGCTTGTGCATAAATTTTATCGGCGAATTCGGTTGGATCCCAGAGGACGAACCATTTTCATTGTGACAGTGACGTCGGACGCCACCGTCGTTCCAATATCTCCATAAAACCTTGGATTTACGCCGACAGCGCTGCAGAGCAATAAAAAATACGCGCAGTGAAAAGCTGCTTAATGCATCGCCATCAGACCGAGAGAGCTCGTGTGCTTGAGTTTTATGTCCTTACATGAAGGAGAGATCAACGAAAACGATGATACTCAAAATGGAGATTACAACCCGCAACGCCGGGATGACGTCGTTTTTATTATATTATTCTTTCTTTATCTTTTACAGAACTAAGATTAAGGTTTAAAAAAAAAGTTAATCTGGCACCTCCATCAAAATTAATAACAATTAGAGTTAACACTTGACTTACAACTAGATAGGAGGGTTTAGCCGCACGTCTCTTAAGACGGCTAAACTCGAATGTTTCTAGTTCTAGTTCTAGTCTAGTATTAGTTCTATTAAAGCTTTTAGTTTTAATTGTTATTCAGCGTTAAATTGTTGTATATTTTTATTGAACTAAAACTACAACTAACTAGTATGTTTCTAGTTCTAGGTATAGTATTAGTTCTAGTACTAGATAATCAAGATTTTAAAACATAAAATTTTTCTTAAAAAGAATTTATTTTAAAATTATAAAACGTTTATTTGATGACGTTGTTGTCGTCATCGATATTAAATTTTCATAATATTCCGAATGCCGTTAGGGTCTTATTTAATTTTAACTCGCCGAAATTGAAAATACCAATTTTCCCAGGCAATCTCCAGCGCAGGAAATGAAAGCATAAGCTTAATGAGCGGCTTCAAATTCTTGAAGGTTCTAGTTCGTAGAGCTATTCCACTGGCGATTCATATTAAGAAAGTTTCGACTTAAATTTAAGAAAAATGGTCCTAACACGGTCGGTTATTTGTTATATTTATTTTATAATTTTTCATTTTGAGTTTGCCTTATATACTTTTTTATATTGGATCGATTATCTTCCTTGAAAAATGGATTGAGGAGGGTTGAAACGCTTTTTAAATTCGTTAGCTCCGCGTAAAGAAAAGAATCCTTTCTTTTAAGTAGGCACCCTTTACAGCCGACCTTTTTTTATTCTACTCGATTTTACTGCGCGTTTTACTGCGGAGAGGGTGAATCGTGATTTTCCTTTTATGAGATCCCTAAAAGCGGCACGCAGAGCATTCCTTTTTTTATTTTTAACATTCTTTTTTTTTTGTGGTTTTGGCACGCAGCCGTTTTAAAAGGTAAAGGGATAAAGATTGCAGATTTTAACGGAAATTAAACTTTCGAATATACTGAAGATACTGAAGGGAAAAAAACGAAGGCGACCCTTTTCCTTCCGCCTTGTGTTTAAGCAAACTTCCGCTCGGCTATTATCAACAATCGATACGGCAACTTTACTGGTTAACTTTGACGAAGTTTGATGAGAAATTTACGAGGTATTGATCGGTGCGGCTCCATCATCCCCATTAGGTGCACGGTGGCATTTTAACAACGGACCAAGTTTGACAATAAGCTTGACAACAACCTCAATAATGATGGTTATTAGATCCATTCATCAATTCGAGCAGTTAATTCAGCATTAAATAATTTAATTAATTATTCTGTTAAAGAGATGTATTTATTATTGATTTTTCTTAGTTAATTTTTAAAGATTCATGATTAAAAGAAATATTTTATGTAATTTCCGTTAAGATCCCAGCACACGACAAGAATAATCCGTTGAATTACGTTCATTATCCGCCCTTGTGCCGTCCGCACGATTTTCCATGCCGTCCGAACTTTTCGTGTATCTTCCATATTAAAACTTATAATTGCATCACGGGGAGCTTTAGGTAGCTAATTAACCGAGCTTTACCTTCCCATGAGCGAACCGGAAAATCACGTAGAGCAGAGAGAGTAACGAATTCACTCTTTTCCGGGAATTAATAACAAAAACAATGTTATTAATAGGCACATTACGCCTTCATTAAACGGAGTTTGCTGCAAATATTATATTATAAAAAGCAATTAAATTAAGAAAAGTTTTTAGCAAGTTCCAATTGAATATTAATTCATTCATAATCATTGAGAGTGTTGATTTTGGCTATTGTTGAAAGTATTACAATAGTTAAAATCAACAGAAAGGCTCGTGGAACGCCGAAAGTGTTTGTATTTAATTAATTCGCTCCGGGGACCGATGAAGAGAACTTCTTCTTTCTTGCTACGATAACTGTTCGTTGGAAACGAAAAAGCCACAATCGACTTCACCAAGTTTCTAATTGGGTGTTTACACAGTTGATAAACTCGAGATATAATTCAGAAAACGCTTACGTCTTCAGTACTTTAACATTTCCACTAAGTCAACAATTACAGTTTAATTCAATTTGATACTCATCTTTTACATAATCATAAAGAAATAATTGTAATAAAACAACTAAATGTTACTTATATATGTCACTTGTTGCTTGTTAGAATAAATAGACTTTCCTCTTGGAATTGTCAAAAACCGCTTTTACTAATAGTGTCTATCGATCATAATATAATATAGCTTCGAGCTCGAATGTACGTTGATTGTACATCAATCATTTAACGTCGCGCACCTGTCCATCATCTTTATTAACCAACGGGGCGGCGTTTTAATCTCATTTTCATCATCCCCCTAAACCCCCGAAAACTCACCCACGTTTTGTTGCTGCGATGCGGCCTCAGAATCCCCCCTAAACGCCATTTGCATTAGATATTAAATTTGCACGTTAAGGATACCGAGAGTATAGCTTTATTCCCTGCCAGAAAACAGCCCCCCCTTTATATAACGAGGAAATCGTTATTTGCATACCTTGTAACGTCGGATTTAATGATCAGAAAATTCCTAAAAATTGCTGGGCTCCAATAAGTCGCATCGTATTAAACAGGAAAGAAAAGATGGTTGTTAAAGTCTCGGGAGAAAATTGATGGCGGAGCATTTTTCTCGCCAACCCACTAATTATCTCGTAAAGGCGTGTGGTAAAAACTATAAAAGAGCTCGTGATAATAAAGCTGGGGGATGCCCTTACCGAGCACCGTTTAAGGGGGGCGGGCCCTTCGCTTTCAAGGGAACGCTGGCAAATAACTATAAATTCCCCCGGAGGGTCCGGAAAGGAAATTTTATGTACTTTGCGCGACCTCCAATTTAGAAGGGCACGGATCTGAGATCTCTTGGGGCCGCGTGCTCCCCACGTCGAAGGTAAAGAATATAAATTGCTCAGGTGGCAATGTTGAAATGGTTATATTTATTCCCTAAACGTTGTTCCCAAAATACAAGTAAGTATATTAAGTTGATATAAACGCTCTTTTCCAACCCTCTTTACTAAAAATATACTAACATTTATGACATAAATGGAATATCTACATCTATACAATAACCATTTAGATATCTACCATAAACAATAACTTTCCTTAACATAAATTTCCCATTCGGTGATAGTTCACCAAACGCTTATATAGTCACAATCTGCGTGGGCATTTCTAATCCCTTTTCATCTTTTTTTTTTTTTTGCTTATAAAGAATAAAGGACTTTTTTGACATCTACAAATTTTACAACAATACCTCTGCAACGGAAATAATCATGAACATTGACATCACAAAAGTCAATAAACAATATAATAAGTTGACACAAATCATTAACCTTTTACATGTTGACATAAGTCAGTCAACATTTTGGATGGCTTTAAAGCCACCAAAAAATGTCATATTTTTTTCGAACAACATTATTTTTAAAGATGCGAAATTTTCAACATTCGATCCGTGAAGTAAAATGTCCATGTCCGCCCAAAAAAAAGCTGGACCCAATTGAGGATGCATTATACAGGAATGAAGCGCCAATTATACCGTTGCAAGAATTCTTTGAAACGGAAGAGGAAAAGGAGCGTGATTTAAAATGTAAACACACTCATTTTTCGGATGAGAAAGGTGTGGATATGACGCACGTAAATGTTATACCGAAGGAATACACGAATACTAGAACGGCTAGAATTTATAAAGAAACTAGACATTGTATGCAGAATGGAAATGATAACGTTAAGTATTGGCACGTGCAGTTTGATACGACTATGAGATTTGAAAATTCTTTAATAGGATGGTGTTCCAGTTCGGATGCCCTTTCTAATGTGAAATTACACTTTCATTCTTTGGCCGCGGCGCAGGAGTTTTGTCATAGAAACGGTTTTGATTATTACGTCGATGTACCACCTAGAAAAGATTTTGTAGTAAAAAGTTATTCAGATAACTTCTCTTGGAATAAACGTAGAAGAGTAACTACCAAATAGTAAATAAATACTAAGTAAAAAATTTTTATTGGTGCATTATTTTTAAAGCCTTTGTTACGACAAAGACATAAAACTAGATCTCAAAAGTATTTAGGACAAAATTTTTACTCTGGATCGTTGAAGACCAAAGCGTTTCGTCCACTTTATTACTTCCCATAACAACAGCGCTTCAAGAGCAAATAGTCGTAAAACTTTTCTCTTGAGGAAGACAAATTATGTATTAATAAAGAAAAATATGACAAGAAGGGATTTATTTATAATAAATACATTTTTTAACTATTACATAAAATTATTAACTACTATACAGTGAATTTCACTTAAGATGCAATATACAAAATTATATTTCAATAGAAACCAGAGCGTACCTACTTACTTTGTCCCACATAAAATGCAACATGTCAATAAGAGACGAACTGTTCGGGCTGAATCTTTCTATTTCTAGTTCTAGTTTTAGTTTTAGTTTTAGTTTTTATTGTTCTTTTGTTTTGGATCGTTTTGTATTTTTATTGGACGTAGAGTTGGACTCATTTTAGTTTTAGCGTTTGTCTCTTTCGAGTTTGGCCGTGTGTGTGTTGCGACGCGGGGATTACTTTTTTTTGCGCCAAAGTTTTTCTTTTTTTTCCTGCCCGATTTTTGTTTTGTTAAGCTATGTTGTGTTTTTTGTGTTAAGGTGTGTTTGCTTTTTTGTTTGGCAGTTCATGTGGTCAGTAGCATTCATGTATTGCAAGTTATACATACAAAATTCCCGGTTTAGTAGAACTATATAAAAAAATTAATTAAACCAATAAAACATGATGTTTCACATTTATGTTTTGAAATAATTATAATTAATAAACTGAAGCAATAAAATTATTTATTCAAAAAAAAAAGTGATCGCCATCTTTTATTAAATAGTCAAATTAAATATTTTGATTAACAGTGTTGGTTCGTAACTCGACTAAAAACCAATCAAAGCATGATATTTCAATTTCAAGAACATCAAACCGGCTCAGTTTAAACATTGTAAACGTCTTGATAACTCGTATCGTTCACTTTTCAAATTTTTTATCAATTATAATGAACTCGAAAGCTGCAATTTGTGGTCCAATAGTAGGTTCTATAGTTCTACCGAACGCTGGCGGCTTTATAGGTTATTTTTTGGTGCGAAAAAATGTAAAACCGATGTACGAAAAGTTAAATTATCCCGAATGGAGCCCCCCGCAATGGCTCTCAAGTGCAGTGTGGCTGGGATTGTATTCAGGCATAGGTTATGGTTCATATTTAGTTTATAAAACTGGCGGTGGACTCGAAGGTTACAAATTTGATAGATTGTTGTTTAAAGTATTTAATCTAATATGTTTCAGGGCCGGCAAAATTACCGTTAACGATGTACGCGGCTAATTTGGTCGCGAATTGGGCTTATTGTCCGATTTTCTTCGGCTGCGGAAACTCAAAAATGGTATGACAGCTGTCAAAATAAATATTTGAGAAACAGATATAACCTAAAAACTTAATTTATATTTTATTTTCAGGCATTAATAGATATTGGATTAATCGAAATTACAGCAATAGGAACTGGATTTTTGTTCCATCAAGTTAATAAGACAGCAGGATATTTGTTCATACCTTACATATTATGGATGGGTTATGTTGCCGCTTACAATTATAAAATATTTAAAAACAACAAACCTGAAGTGAAGGTCAATTAATTTTTATTTGAATTACTTTCAAGGCAGCGAATGAAGTAGTTTTGTTATATTATTTCGGATATTATTGATGTTTTTTTTTAAATATATATTTTTGTTATCCCCTGGAGTTTGTTTCGCCATCTATCAAGGGAATTATTAAACAAAGATGGTGTTGAAGTTTGATAAATTTCACCACAATAACCAAAAAAAGATTATGATAGGAATATCAAGAAAAAAACAAGATTATATTAAAGTTTTGTAATTAGAATATTGTATTTCCTATGAAATAGCCTATACATCGTCTAAATGTTAACAAAAAAAAAAACCTTCGAAAAAACGTTATTTTTTTTAATTTTTGGTTGTTCGGAGTTGCGCAGCAAGAAAACAACAACTCAAAAAACATCCTTCTTAATAATAATAATAATAATGTGAAGAGATTTAAAATAAACGGACTCCATCCATTTTTTTGTTATGTTTTGACATGATTCAGTCACTTTCGGGACTTAATGAATTGGGATTCCCTTATAAAACACCTTAGTTCTCTTTTTTCTCATCATCTTTCTTGGCAACCTCTTCTTTAGAGGCTTCATCAAAGTTCTCCACCAAATCGGGTACATCTTCTTCGTCCTCCGGAACGATCTTCCCTAAACTACCAACGTTACCCACCGAAGTAGCCAGCCGTTTCAATTGGTTAATCCCTTCGGATCCTAATTGATTCAAAATACCGGGCAACATTTCTGTAATTTGTTTCGTCTCACCATGACCGGTGATAGCAAAAGTATTCGCAGCTAACGACGCCTGGGCCTTGGGATTATTAAAATGAATTACAGTACCATCGTCCTTCATCATATTAACCTCTTCAATACCAGGAATCGTGTTCACACCTAATTTTTTCAATGAGGATTGTAATTTTTTGTCATCTGTGGCTTGGGTTGAATGTACAACCTTCTTCTTACGTCTCGGTGTCCCTTTACCACCGATTCGTACTTGTGTTTCCATCCTCTTTAGTTTTTCCGAATTCATTTTGAATAGATTGTTTGCGGATTTTAATTTAACACTTCGAAGTCGATGTCAGACTGTTTATCTCCTTTTAGGTTATAACGATGCCGCGTCTTCGATTACTTAACGGGATATTTTCGTTAATTAATTCGCGCACATGGATCACACGGAGCCGGTCTGCACGGAAAAGAATATGGTCGACTTCCTTTTCATGCGTTTCTACTATTGCGCACGCTTCATCAGTTCAAATCGCGGGAAATTTAAATTTTTACAAAAATTTTTTTTAATTTTCTTAAAATTAAGTTAACAATTAATTCGTATAATTAATAATAATATTAATAATGTTTATGATAAATAGTATACGTAATACAACATCATATTTTATACTTAAATCATCTTGTAAAGTATGTTTTTTTTTTAAATCTAAATCTGAACATAATGAATGTAGCAACAAAATATACTTCCGTGATATAACCTCACTTTTACAGGTGAATTAAAATTTTCATCATTTAAAAAATTTAAAACACGTTTCAAACATAAACATAACCTCCATATAGAATATTTTATAATTTTTTTTAAATTAATTTAAGATTTTCTCCGTTTTTTTAATATTTATGGTTAAAAAAATAATGCCTGTAACTTGTACTTTATGTGAAGGCACCGATTTCTATAAAGAAGCTGGATTTTATTTTTGTTCCGAATGCCAAACGCAAACTCAAGATATTCAAGAACACGTTTTTGAAGATCAAGTGGATGAAGCTGAGCAACCACCCCAACATGCGCCGAAAAGAAAACCCAAACGGACTTCAAGTAATAAAGCGAATGATGAAGAACGATTAACAAGTTGGGAATGTTATAATTATATCCTCCTGGGATTAGTAAACGAATTAATTGAATTGGGTGCTGATAAAAGTCTACGAACAACTGTGGAGGTGTTGTGGCTTCATTATTTAAAGAAAATTGAAGTAATAAGGGAGGGTAATTTACCACCTAAATTGCCAGCTGTTAATAGTGATAGAGATGCTTCTATTATTTACGGAAGGTCTAAGGCTATTAAAAGACGTAGGTCAAGAAGTAAATCTGTTGATAGTAGTATTCGAAACGCTTCCACTTTGGATAATGAATCAATAAAGAGAGAAAGAACTAGACAAAAGGTAAACTACACACATTTTTTATTCAATTATTAATTGTTTAATTGTTACAGAAAGCTTTAGCAAAAACTGAATATGACGAATATTTAAGTACAACCCAACAATCTGAATCATCATTAGTTAATCAAAGTTTATCATCCTTAAAAAGTGCAAATAGCTCTCCCAGTGACGCAAAAGTTATACAATACAATAAAACAGCAGAAAAGTGTTTAAAAAAGCATATGAAAGCACGCCATTTAAAAAAGCATTGCGAAGATGTTCACTCTACTCTTGATTGTCATAAAAAATTAACTGGTCGATCTGCCACTAGTTATTACAACGATCCATCAGTGATATCAAGATCAAAACTTTTTTCACTTCTCTACTTAGGGTTATTAATGAATAAGCAGAAGATTCAATTGGGAGATATGCTCAGATTTATAAAAGAGGGTCATTTAAGTTTCCAACATGTGGACAAGTTTTTTCCAGAGGAATTAGTCGAGAAAAAATTGAATATCTCTTCTTTTACCAAAGGACCTAGTTTTATAACTCATTCAATGATGAGATCTAATACTGTGAAATTAATATCTTATTTAAATATTAAAAATGTAGTTCCTGTACAAAACATTGTTGAGATGTGTGAGAGGTACTGTAAAGAATTAAATTTACCTGGTAAGTTTTCTAAATACTTGATCTGTACAAAAGTTATATCAATTAATTTCAGATTTTATATATTCATTTGTATTAAACATTATATCAAGAAGTTTACCTAAATTCAAGTATACTTTTACTTCTTCATTACCTAATTATGAAGGTAGAGCAGTTGGATTTATAATATTCCTCTTAAAAATTTTATTTGGGCTTGATGATTCAACCGAATATGAAATGTCTAAGTTAGCATCAACAATTAATCTTCATTTAAGGAGTAATCAACAAAAAATGTTTAATTTTCAAGAATGGTTGTTGTATATTAAATATAGACATTTCATTGTGTGCCAAAACAATTTTCCTGCTTCATACAATGAAAATTGGCATGATGAAACGAAGATTTTTGTGAAACATTTAGAAAAATATGCTGAAAAACATGAATTAGTTAAAGAAGATGCTCCTGATATAGAAATATTTAAAAGATTATTGTATAAGCTTGATCAGGTTTGGGAAGATTTTGATGATGGCGTTGATTATAAACCAACATTAACGCCATACCGGGATTACATAAATACCTTATTAAAGAATGAAAGAAACGATTGTAATTACAACGAAGATATCTTGCGATTAGATTGTTCAAATATGTCTTTAGAATATATATTTTATGATGAATTGTATTTAAATAACATTTTTCCTAATGTAAAAATTATTCGTAATAGTGGTGGAAAAAATAACGATATGCAATTAATATATTTATTTGATACTTATAAACGATACCGTGCAAATTGTAGTGAAAGACGAAATTTATATAACGTTACGTTACTTTCCGAACAAAATCCTGTTAAATTTAAAAATTTTTTTACCACCACCAACGCCGATAGCGACATTAAACCAAATTCTAAGCAAATCCTTGAAAATTATAATCATACCATTACGAGCAAAGTGAAGAAAAATTTCAAGAGACGACAAAAATTGTTTCAAAATGTTGATGAAAATTTAGTTATTGCTGAAAAATCCGATGTTAATTGTAAAGAATATGTTCTCTATGAACCAAGCGAACGGGTTTGCGTTAATTTACAAAACGTAACTCTCTACACGGAGGAAGATTGGGAAAAATTTTACCAAAAATTTTCTTTATCATTTAGAACCATTCTTGCGGAATGCGCTAGAATTACTGAACAAACAACTAAAGACGTTTATTTAGAATACGCGAAAATTGAGATATATTTGTCACATGTGTTGGATGTAGGAAATGATCGATTTTATGATGAAAAAATTGTTAATAATGAACTAAAGAAAAATATTGAACATACTAAGAAAAGTTGGTGATTTTAATAATTAAGTTTTTTCCTTTCCTTTTTGGATTGGTGATTCAAAAGAAATATAATTATGTATTTTGGCAAAAAGGTTCTACTTGGTAGAAATAACCTTTTAATAAAGAATTGATTGAAGAGATATATTTATTTTGAATATCTTATATTTTAACTTGTATTCCAATCAAATTTGATCGAATGCTTGTGCATCAAATTTTCAAAACCATCTTTAACTTAACAAGTGTCCTTGTTTGACTTGATTCATGTATACCATTTTTTTCCTCCAACATCAGGTCAAAAGGTGACACTCTTGTTATGACCTCCACTCTGTCTGTCGAGATTTCTTTTGCTGGCTTTGGTCCACCCACGTTTGGCACCGATTCCTTCTTAGGTATTTCCATCACATGGCTGTTTGGGTAATATATGTCTTTGTTAAGGAACACTTCCAAATACCTCACATTGCTAGAGTTCTTCACAGCTGTCCCCGTTATTTCTATTTCCAGGCGTTTAATTTTCCTTCTTCCTTTACTGAGACCCATATTTCTATTAAGGCTGCATTAAGACCACATCATGTAAATCAAGAATCCGTCAAGTCAGTGTCAGAATAACTCTGAATAAACTTGATGTAAACATCTTTGCATCAAGTCCTCGCTTTATTTCTATTAAGTTAAGACTGCATATTGCTAACTTTTTATCAAGGTTGCATCAATCCCAATTGGGTCTGCATCAAGTCTGCCTCTACTAGTATATCAGCACTCCTTCATCAAGTCAGTTTCAAATGTCCACCATATTTGAGACTCCATCAGTCTATTTTAAATCTTTTTCTTGTGTTATTTAAAGTCTACATCATCTCTGCATCAAGTTCTTATCATCGAGATTACTAGGTGTGATGTTCTTCCTGACATTATATCTGAAAATTTTGTGGGGATTTGTTATATTTTTTGAACAAGTAGTGTGATTCTCCAATGCTTGTTGGTCTAGGTTTCTATTTATGACACCTACTCCTAGAACCAGTACCTGTCAAAGTTCTCCTTTATTGAGAATGGCAAGATCCACAAATCGTGTTAATATAGATCTGTTTCAGCATTCTTTCTATACATTGAAAAAATTGCTCTTTGCTGAAGTTGGTGTGTTGCCTCATGTTCATTTGATATGTGATATATTTATATCCACTTAGGTTTAGATTTGTACACAACTGGTTGTGGTATGATGTTATTGGGTTCGACCTGTTTCTGAAAGTAAAGTTTACTTTGAGAGAGTATCCAATCACAAGGCTTTAAATAAACTAGGTAAAATAAATTTGTTAACAAGTCACCTGTTCTTGTTTTGGAAACGTCAAAAATCTGACATACTTCAGTAAGCTTTGAAAAACAAAGTATTTCGTCAGCTTTTACTTTTGGTGTACAAAATTATCAGTTCGTTCTGAAAATAAAATGTCTATTAATAAAACGAGGAAAGAGAAAATCATAAATAATATGGCGAAATCTTCTTGTCCAAGCAGCCAAAATTCCTGCCTTAAAGGCAAAATTACGCGAAATCCATTTTTCAATTTTCTTCGTAATTATCGGACAAAACATTGTGATTGGTCGATAACGAGAATAGCCGTAGAAGGTGCTAAGATATGGAATTGCATGGATTACGCACAAAGGGAAAAATATGTTCGTTTGGCATATCAAGTATCCAGAGGCTCGAAAGAACCCCAAAAGAAAAGACCTAAACGAATATGTTTTCAACGGCGTAAAGTATGTAAAACAAAATCTGAGCCAACGCAAATGTGTTCAAATTTCATTTTATAAATTTTTTAAATGTATTTTGTACGTAAAGTGATTCAGTAAAAAAAATAAATATTTTTTAACATTATTATTGTATATAATATTGTATTTAAATTATATTAAACCTGCTATGATTTGTTTGAAGATAATCACAACTAAGCATTTTCAAAGATATAAAAGATTTCTTGTTTTTTGTAGATTGTCTATATCCCAATTGTTTTGACAGTTACTAGTTTGCCATGGAAAACAAAGCAATCTGTCACTACAGTATAAATTATTTACGTTATTATTTGTCACGGGGTACCATTAAATGGATTTTTCAAAAGAATAAAATGCCTTTTATGCAAACGGATCAATATGTCCTGCCGACCTGGATGCCGCGAAAGAGTAAGGCGTCGTCGTCGTCGTCGTCGCTGTTCCCGGCCGCGAAGACGGAGTTGTAAACCAAAATGCCGAGCTGGAAGAGTTAGTCGCAATCCTTTTCTAAATTTTCTTCGTGTCCTCCGTAAGAGACACTGTAATTGGCCTGTAACTAAAGTGGCTGTCAGAGGTGCTAGAATATGGAACTGCATGGATTGCTCACAACGCGAAAAATATGTGCGGATGGCTAGAGGGGTATGCAAGCCCCGAAGAAGAAGACGGAGTTGTCGACGACGACGACGACCTCGAAGGCGAAGTGCTAGCGTGTGCCGAAAACCAAGGAGAAGGAGGAGATCATGTCGTAGAAGAAGAAGGAAGTGTAGAAGATCAAGAAGAAGGTCTTGTAGAAGAAGAAGGAGACCTCGCACTCGTTGCAAACGAAGTTGTCCAATGGCCAGACGACAAGCTGGTGATTCACCTGTACCTAGCCCGATTGTAAATGAAAATGAAAACGAAAACGAATCTTGAAGTAGACAACACCTTACTCGAATTTTTGGTATATCAAGGCATTTTATATATCAGTATTTTTTTCTAATTTTCGCTGTATTATATCGAATATATTTTTGTACTGTGATTTGGTATATCTTTTTATCGAAAATACAAATTTTTATATCATGTTATTTTATTAATAACTTTATTATTACATAAAAATAAGAATCACAAATACTATTGATTCATAACAAAATCTGTCATATTCGGATCCAACTCTTCTTGATGTACCATGGCAAAATCGTGTAACATTCTAATTTGCCTACTATGCTCTTCGTCAAAGCTGCCCGAATTTGCCAAACAATGGTGGTTACATCTCAGAGGCATATTTCTGTATTTTATTTCGCGCTCCGGAAAAAAAAATTGTCTTGCTATTCGTTGATCAATATCGGAAGGTCCCCAAGTATCTGCTGGCCTTAGAAGCTTTTTAAATGACTAAGAATGTAAAATGAATTAAAAGTTTGCTTGGAAGTATAAAATAAAAGATCTTACTCGGTATTTAATTTGATGAAATATCTTGGCTATTGCTATGATAAAAACTGGAGAAATGATTACTGCCATTATTATGTACGAACTTATGGCGATGTATTTATCATAAAAATGACTCAAATAACTTTCGTAATTCAATTCGTAAATCATAAATATAAGTAAATACTAAAAAAAATAATAATTAACAATGGGAATTTTCTTTTGGACGCACTTACTAAACTGAAAAGTGGCACTGTTCTCCATAAGAATTGCCAATATAAATGTGGAGCTGATCCATACGTAAAAGTGTAATCTTCTATAATTCGAGTTGTAGAATATAAAAATATAAACGAAATATTAACCAAAAGCAGAAAAATCGATTTTAACAGCAACATCCCTTTCTGGCTAAAATATGACAAAAATCCAAATCCGATATTTGAAGTATACGGAATGCTCATAATCAAGCCAATTACACAACAGAATCCATACACAATTATTCTGCGAGAATTGAACGACGGCTTACTTTGGCAAATCGAATCAACAATTGCTACGATGGAAAATATGGGCGTAATCAAGGCGATAAGAGCTATCGCTAAATACCAAAGAAAAGCTGTTAGTTGACCAAAGTGTAATTTAAAAAGCACATCAGGCACAAAAGTGATGATTACGTCCACGCCTATAAACATATTTAATAAAATTTAATCAAAAAGATATTTCAGTTTAACCATGAGTAATCAGGCAAAGAGGGTCAGCAAATGAATAAGTGTACAACATATCATGAATGATTAATGATGAGAAACACATCAAAATTAGGCATATGAACGTTTTTGCAATTGCCAATATCAATGCTGCCGATTTCGGCGAAAAATTTTTGGGCAATAATGTACCAAGCCATAAAGTATGTGCTAAAGAAGCCGGAGTGTTAGTATGGAGAACTATTTCTAACCAAAACTGAAAGAAAAAATTTACAATTTTCATAATCCCAGTTAAGTTCATACTTACGATAAATTTTCCAAGTGGCATCGCCGGTTGATTCAAATGAACATAATACTTGTTCACATTCAACAAAACAAAACAAGAGATCAAGAATAATATGATAACGGCCACAAATATTAGTTTGACTAAAGCTTTAACAATTCGTTCAATGCCTAGTATGCTGATCAAAAATATCAAAACCCATAAAACGGCGAAAATAATAATGTGCTTTATATTAATCCAACAACAAGCAGGACTGAATCGATCATAATTTATCATCATATTCCTACAAGGAAATAAAAATAAAGAATAAAAAAATCAATTAAAAATAATATTGAATTAACCTAAAGTAATACTGAGTCCCAACCAAAAGAGGATTGTTAGTCTTATTAGTGCAATTACGTTTTGGAATATCACAATTTGGAGTAACTTCATAACCACTACAATATTGCTGCATATTGTAAGTCCGATATCTTACCACTTCCACTAACATAATAACACAATACGAAGCAATAGTAACATTAGTTAGTTCGTAGAGAAGTTTTGACATTGCCAATGTATACCCAAATCCTAAAATTAAAATGTATGTATTTATATCTATATAATATACATAATAGTGGTGATCACCTTCGAAAATTGGTACACATTGCCAAATGGTGAAGAAACTCTTCTTTGTATAACTGCTCAAGAATATATAAAGCATATAAAGAGGCAAACCAAATAATAATTCGAAAACCAAAAATACAAAACTCGTAATCACTAAATTATCACATGTTCAATTAGACATAAAACTATTTATTACTACTACTTACTAATTCCGTAATGATATGCCATGTTAAGAAATAATGAGACATAATTCAAATTTGTGTGTTGAAAAATTGAAAATACAATAAATTGTAGAGTGGTTAGTTCGAAACTTGATTCTTCCTAATGATATATGTATATAAATATTAATTGTTAATTAAAAAAGGTAGATTAACTATACATCACGGCCTATCAATGATTTTACCAACGAGCGTCGTTGTCTCGATATTAATGGTAATTCTAAGGATCTTGCTACTCGTGGGGCATTGTTATCAAAATATCTTTTTCTTAAATTTTGCATTTTTTAAATATACTTTGTGTTATTAATGAGAATGATTAAAAATCATTTTTGACAATAACATTGATTTTGACATTGATAACGATTTTTTGACTACGAGTGTTTGTTTGGAAAAAAGATGTATTATAGATGTTTTTGAAGTTCAGCTCAAATTACTGTTAATAGCCTATATATTAATCAAAAATAATTTATAGACAACTAGAACATTTATTTGCTGTCAGGTGCAAACTTTAACATTTTATCATTCCATCTCAGAGTGTCAAAACTATTGATTCCAGCTAGTATAGAAATTTAGGATAGTCAATGTAGAACCCCATAAGATAATGGGATTCCAAACTTTTATGCCACTCTGCATAAATCATCAAGCTACAATTCATTATCTTTCCTTGATCATTCCTTTCTTTCATTATGAATGCTACATTATATCAACACCTTCATTCCAGCAATCCTTCATGCTACTTTTATTAGGTGCGGCAAAAAAAGTTTATTGATCAAGAGAGACTTATGGTCTTTGTTAACCTTCAATGTAGTAAAAATTACAGAAATGTGTGAGTAAAACAAAGTTGAATATCAAAAGTTTATTTATTTTATAGGTTAAGTTGCCGATATCCGAAGGAATCTTGTCTTTTGTGTGCAATACTTCAATTTAGTTGACTGAAATCAGTTCTTCTTAGAGTTATATATGAATAACGAAAGTAGAAGCTCAAAAAACGAGTTTTGACTCCGAAAAAGCATAAAACGTAAGATTTAAGACACATAGCATTACCAGAGTTATTACCAAATTTATGTTTTATGATGATTTAAAAAAAATATCAAGTTTTCTTCGTTGGTTCTCCTTTTCTTTAAGGTATGCTTCTTGATGAACTGCCAAACATTTATGTTGACATATAAGTTTATTTACTCGAAATCGAACGTTTCTTCGAGGATAATAATTTTTCCTTGCTAAATTTGTAGCTTCATCTCTTGGTCCCCATTCCGGAGAAGGTTGAATTAAGTCACCTAGTCTCTATAAATAATTAAACAATACTTTTAGTATGTAGTAATGCACCAGTATGATACTTTAATTACTCTATTTTGAACATGCGTGCAAAATTTAATTACAGCCATCACTAAAATTGGGGATAGCATTAATGCAGCATGGACATAAGATGCCATCATAACGAAACTGGCATAATTACTTGACGTATCAGTGCCAGTTTGGAATGTAAGAGCAAGTAAGAAAGCAAACTAGAAAAAATATTGATTATTTTAAAATTTTAGTATTTTAATACTAAAGTACCAAAGAAAATAATGGGCAACATTTCCATAAAGTAGTCCAATACCGTTCTGGTGGATGGCTGTATGTGAATGTATAATCGTTTATAACTTGATCGGTTGTGTAAACGAAGAAAATTGCAAGATTTACAATCAACAACAATGAAGATACCAAAACAGTAAATCCGCAATATTTCCAAACCGTCAATAAATTTGATCCTATTTCCGATGTTAATGGAACAGTGCATATTAGCCCAACAGCACAAGTAAAAGCACATGACAATATTCGATAATTTATTAACTTGGGAAATTTATCTTCTATCGATATCAAAAATCCAATAATAGTATAAACCGGCGGTAAGATCATGAAATAACACAATCCCCCGTACCATAAAAAAAGTGTGAATTGCCACGATTTATATCTTAAAAGAACATCTGGTATTAAAATAAATAATACATCACTCGCTGAAAATAAATTTATAGCATAATTTTTAAATGAATAAATTTTATATTGCAATTTACCTGATACACTCAAAAAATTTATATCGTCCAATTTATAATGCAAAGCATTATCTTGAAATGCAATGGTCACCATACAAAGTAGCGATAAAAACGCCATCATTTTTATAGGAGGATTTAATAACGCCGCAAATTTTGGATGCAAATAATTTGGCATCATAGTGCCTATCCAGATTGTATTTCCCAAGTAATTTATTTCAGAGGCATGTAATATTAATGTTACCCAAAACTATAAAAGCATAAAATAATTATATTTCACTAAAAACACCAAATAATCAAGACTTACATCAAATTTAACGAGTGGGTTATCAATTTGTCGTGTATCTTTAATCGACCCCTTTTTAGCGCAACAAATCACAAACACCGACAAACATATTATGATGAATAATATAAAAAATTCTGGATAAAGAAAGAATCTTCGGATACGTTTCATACCGAGTGATGCTAAAATGAATACTAATATCCAAAGAGATGTTACAGCCAAAAAAAGTGGAAAATTTATTGCGGGGATCGGGTTATTAAGAGATTCAAACCTCACAAATGAAGTAACTTTCACCCTAATAAATATAAAAGTTTTAAATAAATTAAAGTAGAAAATCACGCTAACCTATAATAACTTTGAAAAGATGTAAAAACTTGTCCAGTAATAGATGTGTTATGTTGTGGTGAAACACAATATGGTGCGTATCGAGTACCAACGGCGACATCACAGCTACGCACATACTCACTAAAATTCGGATCTTGAATGTGTACCAAAAATAATAAGGCTATTCCAGCGTGGATAACGTTGAATACTTCAACACTTAATCGGATTATTCCTGCACTATATCCTATACCTAATAAAACAATAAAACTTAATTCTTTTGAATAATTTTATTCTTTTAGTAAACCTTCGAAAAGAGGAACACATTGCCAGAATCCCAAAAAACTTTTTCTAGAATAACTACTCATAAAAATTAAGAGCATCGAGAAAGGAACTCCTAAAGTACTCAGCAATAAGATGTATACAATACAAATTGATACTAAAATTTCGAATATATTATCGGATTTTATATTTAAATTTTCTTACCAGTATTGTGCATTAACGCCAATTCTAAGAATTGAAACACATAATTAGCATTCATTTGATACATGTTAGACATCATCATGTACTCCAGAGTTGATAATTTAACATCGCGCTAGCAACAACATACAAATATTAATGTATAAAAAGTAATATTAATGCATAAACTAACGTGGTCAATATTGATTATAAGGTTCTTAAAAAACTCATATATGTGCTGTTTTGTTTTCTTCCGAATCACTTTTCTTCGCTTCTTTATGTTCGTGTTCATTATTAATTAATAGTTATTAATATACTTTTATAGTATTTGTATGACAATTCTATTGATATTGACAATTATGACATACACAAAAAGTTAATTTTGAAATTTTGTTGGTGGTTCCTCAAAATGAGAGAATTTGAAGAAAAATGACATCTAGTTTTCTATCAATAACACTTAATCTATTGCCAGCATTTAGTCATCTACAAGCAATAAGTAATTTTCTGCCAGCAGTATATAGTCTTCTGTAAGCCTTCTGCTTACAATTTTTAGTATTATTAGCATTATCCAGTCTTCAATTAGCAGTATATAGTCTTCGACGAGTACTATTTAGTGTGCTAACACAGTATGTAATCTTCTGCCAGTAACATATAGTCTTCTGCAAGCAGTATCTGGTCCATTATTAGCAGTATCTAATCTTCTAGAAGTAATATCTAATTCTGCAAGCAGTAAGTTATGTTCTGCACACAATATCTAATCTTCTTATGATATTACTAATGAGATATTTGAATATTATATCTAAATATATGTATAAGACAGAAGATTATCTAAAGGAATAAACGGTGCTTGTTGAAGATAGTGGATAAAAACAAAATAAAATTAATATTTCACTTTTTATTATTATAAATATCACAAATATATTAACTGAGTAGATAACTTTTGAGAAACGCCTTTTGTGCGTACAAAATTTTCACATTTGTTTTCATAAAAAGCAAACACTCTATTGATTTAGATAAGATATGCTGTAAATATGACCATAATCAGTCAAACAGAAGTTGTAGTGCACGTGCGAAGGTATTAAAATACTTAACGTATCAAAAACTACATTTTTTATACAGCAAAAATGGCAGATAACGTGGATGCAAATATTTTTGGAAAGTATGTAAATATATATTTGTTGTTTTATTAAAGATTTCGGTCTATAATTTTTTTAATAATTTTATTTTATCAGATCAAAAGATACACAAAAAAATCAAGATTCGATATCAATTATTCCTGTACTTAGTGGTTATGAATACAAAATGGATCACAAACACCGAGGGAAAGCAATAATTTTCAATCATTATAAATTCGATAACAATAGTATGCCCGTAAGGAGTGGTACTGAATTAGACTGTGATAGATTAGAAAAAGTTTTAAGAAATATTTATGATTTTGAAGTGACTGTATGTATGGATTATAAGTATGGTCAGATTTTCGATACACTAGACAAAGGTTAGTAATTTTAAACCTTAATTTAATATATTATTAAATCATTTTTAGCGGCAAATGAAGACTACACAGATTGTGATTGCGTTTTGGTAGCAGTAATGTCACATGGTGAAAAAGGAAAATTGTATGCAAGAGATACTTCTTATAGAATTGAAACTTTATGGACACCGTTTACAAACTGTCCAACATTAATTGGGAAACCTAAAATTTTCTTTATTCAGGTATGGAAAATTTTTCAGATTTTTCTGAATGATTTTGTAATTTTTATTTCAGGCATGTCGCGGTGATAAATTAGATTCAGGTCATAAAATTTTTGTTGATTCCCCACAATTAGCTACAATACCAACAATTGCCGATATTTTAGTTATGTATTCAACGTTCGAAGGTAAATTTATCTTAACACAAAAATTTTCCAATAAATAATCAAATTCTTTTAGGTTATTATTCGTTTAGATCGTCTTCTAAAGGATCTTGGTTTATACAAAGACTTTGCGACGAATTGGAGAGTAGATATGGCGATAATAACGATAAAGATATTTTACAAGTATTAACCTTGGTCAATAGGCAAATGGCGTTGAAAGACTCGAGTTTTAATCCTTTTAACAAAGAAGTCCATAATAAGAAACAAGTTGGATCTATTGTTAGTAGCTTAACAAGAACGTTGTATCTTAAAAGAAGAGTATTAACAAATAATTTTCAATATGAAGATGAACCAATGCAATAATTTATTTTTTTCTATTAATTTAAGTTGATTATTCTAGTAATATGAAATATTATATTTATAAAAATACCAATCTAAACTATTAAAAATATGATTTCTATATACTTTTTTAAGTTGCGTAACATAATTTTTAAACGACATCGGTTTAAATCTAAAACAAACTTGGGTTAGTCTCCTAAAACTGATAAGATATCAATAACATCTTTTCAATTTAATCATATAAAAAAATCAGTTTAATAAACCTGGTCTTTTAAAGTGCTATAAATAAAATTAAACTAAAAAGAAATAACTAAAAAGTAATATGTGGAACTATCAATATGATAAGTCTTGTGAAAAACAAGGAAAAGCGTTGATATTTAACTTATATTCCGAAAACGAAGGAGGTTCGATAGATGTTACAAATTTAACGTCAACACTTGGAAATTATTACGGATTTGATGTTGAAGTATGTACTCAAAAAACATACAATGAAATTCATAACAAATTAACTGACGGTAATTACATTTGCAAAAAAAAGACAATTTCATTATACATTTTGTATTTTTTAGCTGGATTAGAAAATTATGAAAAGTACAATTGCATAATGGTTGTAATGTTAGCTCATGGAAATAATGTAGGAATATGTGCTGAAGATCAAACGTTTCAAACAAGCGAACTTTGGGTACCATTTACAAAATGTACTACTTTAATAGGAAAACCAAAAATATTCCTAATTCAAGTAATTGATTAATAAAGATGTAGTTTAATTTTATAACATTATCTTGTTATTTTAGGCTTGCCGTGGAAATCTACAAGATAGCGGACTTCAAGTTGATAGTTCTCGTTCGATTTCATCCATTATTTTGCCACGAATGACCGATATTCTCATCATATATTCTTGTTTTGAGGGTAATAAAAAAATAATATGAATAATAGGTCACTTTTTTAAATTAAATGTTATTCCAATTAAGGTTACGTTTCTTACATCACCAGTGAAGGAACACCATTCATTAAAGAATTATGTAAAGAAATGATTAAGGAGGATAATAGAGAATTAGAGTTCTGTCAAATTCTCACAATTGTTAATTATAAGATATCTTCGTATTATAACTTTGGTGGAGATGGTAAAGAAGTACTGAAGAAGCAGGCTCCGACATATGTTAGTAGTTTAAGAAAAGGATTGTATTTTAGTCCTAAAATAATAAAAAAATGATAAATATTTATGTTTATAATGAAATAAATTTGTATACAAATTATATTTTGATGTTATTTGCAAAGGGATAGAAAACTTTGTATAAAGATGGAAACAATTGTGGACAGGTAACGAAAACCGATGCTTAAAGTTGATAAATATTATGGAACACTTAGGGGAATCAATAACAACATCAATACAATAAAACCGTCTTCTTACTGTAGAGAAGAATATATTTTAGTCTCCTTTAAACATTAAAAAAATTGGAATGAACGAAGCTTTTTTGTTGTTTATCGTTTTATTTTATAACAATTTGACCACTTTAGAACAATATTTGAAGGTGAAATAAGACTTCTTAGCCGATTTGGCACTGTGATATTTAAAAGTTCCCTTGTGAATTTATTTTTCATTAAAATACAATAAAAATATAAACATTACATGCTTCCAAACTTCTTTTGCCAACTATCATATTTTTCAATAGCGACCGAATTAGCCGTAGGAAATGTCTTTCGAAGAGCTTTAACTACATCATTCAAATTTGGTTTTCGTAATTCAAGATTAGCTACAATATAAAATAAAAATGTTAATTTATTTTTAATTTCAAATTTATTTAAAGTAACCTTTATTGGAATCACGAACGTTAATTACTTCTCTTATTGTGCCCACGATAACCTCTTTGCAAACGCATTTTATATCAGCACCTGAGTAATTACTGGACCACTCTGCCATTTTAAAAAAATCTTCATCTTGAAAGTCATTCGAGTGCTTATTGAGGAAGTGTTTGAAAAGTTTTGCTCGCCCTTCAAGATTGGGTGAATTCAATAATAATCGTTTTTCGAATCTTCGCAAAATCGCTGGATCTAAACTCCTATTAATAAGGAAATATGTTTCATTTTATTGCTAATAATTAATATTGCGTACCAAGGTGCATTTGTAGTGGCTAACACAAATACTTGTTCATCACCGTTTAAAATGCCATCCATTTGAATAAGTAATTCACTTTTAAATCGTCTGGATGCGTCATGTCCATCTTCATATTTACTGGCGATAGCGTCTACTTCATCTATAAAAATCGTTGTTGGTTCATAATATCTAAAAGTAATGTGATTTAATATTTAAATATGTTGGTTACTTCAACATACTTTGCTACGTCGAATAATACTTTTAACATTTTTTCAGATTCTCCCCTCCATTTACTAATGAAGGAACTACTTCGAACGTTAATAAATGTACAGGAAGCTTCGCAAGCTACTGCTTTTGCTAAATGCGTTTTTCCAGTACCAGGAGGACCATGGAGTAAAACACCTAATTAATAACATAAATTTATATTTCATAAAACATCAAAAAAACTCAAACCTCTCCAAGGAGTTACCAATCCGGTGAATAAACCTGGATATTTCATAGGATAAATAAGAGTCTCCTTAAGAATTTCAATTCCCTCATCTAACCCAATACAATCGTTCCAAGTCACCCCCAAGTTTTTCGGGACGATTTCCTTAATAATAAGGTCAGCCATTTCTCGCCATTCAGGTGTGTATTGTTTAAAATCACACAGCGATTTTGCATTGAGCCTATTTTGTAATAAAATCGAAGTCGTAATATCACCGTCTCCTTTCTGTCCGTCCTTTTTTGTGTCTAAATGAGTTACAGCAATTTGAAATTTCTTTATGTTTTCGTCTGCTGATCGTGAATCATTTTTCTTTTCTACATCTTTATTTGTGGAATTATTATTTGATGGCGACACGAAACTAAAACCATTTAAAAAAGTTTTTTGCGATCAATAATTTATTTTGTATTGATCCAACAATTTAACATAAAGGTATTTAAATAACTTACGATGTTTTAGATTTCCTTTTATGATGTTCATCTTGTTTTATTACGTCAACATCTAACTTTTTAACCAACTTTGGATATTTATTAAATTTCGTAAAGTAATAACTTTGGTATTCTTGTAATATAATATCAAGATCGATGTTATCACATACTTCGTATTGATTTGTTAACTGAGCTTCGTTTGATAGCGACTGATATGAATCCATTAAGTTTCTATCTTTTAAATACGATGCTATTAAATGTAATATATTGCGACGTCTTTCATTTGATTCACTTTTTTCCTAAACATTATTTAAAAAAAAAAATAATGATATACAAATAATACACTTGAGAAACTTACGTATTCTTTTACAGTTTTCATTTTGAAATTAGAAGAACTATTTTTATTAATAAGAAACTCCGACATGGTTTAACGTGGCGATTATTAAATAATGACTAAGGTAAAATTGAGGTTTTATGTTGACGGTTGAACTTTTCATCCCCCTTTAAAACAAGCAAGTTGCTAAGCAGCTGTAATTATATTCAATAATACACAAAATTCATGATTCATATTATTAAAGATAATTTGCAAGAATTACAGAAAAAAAGTCGTTGTTTTATTTTCATCCTTTAAATTTGTACTATTTATAGAACTATTTGAATGTTACGTGTCGTGTTCAAATCGATCAAACTCCTCTTGAAACTGCGGAAACCTTGTTATAAAGATTCCACGAAAGCTTTAACAATCCTCATTGAGATTGGATTAACTTTAAAGAGCACTCTGTTCGTACAAAAAGTTGTTAATAATTTGTTTTGAGTAATGGTAATGGGAAAAGATATCCGTTATGGTCTTCAAAAATCTTTTCCAAAAACCCCTCAAACTAAAGGATGTAGAATGGTGCCCGCATTCACAATTCAAGCGATGCAAAAAGGAACTTGTGTAGTTCCACCGCCGAAATGTTCGCCGTTTAAAGAAATTCCGGCAAAATCTAACTTTAAGTTGAATTATCAAAGAGGTGAATTTCCGATTGTTTTGGAACCGTTAAGAACTGGAGTAAGTTGGAAGGTAAATTTAGTTTTAGTATTATTTCCTGTCCATGACCACGGTGGCATTCCCTTTGTGTGTGGTAGAACGATGTCTGATTTTTCTGGCCATCCGCAGTGCCCTTCTTTTATTAATTGCAAATTTGATATCGGTGGTTTCGCTGATTTAATCAGTCTCGGTACATCTTGTCGGATTTCTTCCATTTTCACTGCAGGCATTCTGCCAATAGATTTTTCCACTTTGTAGATGATTTATTCCCTCGGAGCGCCTGCATGATTCAATCCTTTGGCGACCTCTGTAGTTTCTTCCTCTATTAATGATTGAAGATTATGCTACCTAACACCAAGATTGTATTGAATCTTGTAATCAAAGAAATCGAAACAACTATTACTATGGAATTAAAAAATAAGTTAGCCAAGTTTTTGTTTTATTAAAATTTATTGCTTTCATTTTGACAATTTGTCGATTTCTTCATTGAACGTTTTATCTTAAAACTTGAAAAAAAGCTATTTATTTTTTTCGCAATGGTTAGTGGCAAAGAATTTCGTCAATCACTTCATAAGCCACTGCCTAATTCACCACCGCTACCAAAAGAATGCAGATTGGTTCCCGCTTTCACTATACAAGCAATTCAAAGGGGAACCTGCGTAATTCCGCCGCCAAAATGTAATCCGTTTCGAGTTCGTCCCGCAAAACCAAGCAGTTTTAAATCGAACTATGATAGAGGTGAATTTCCGTTGGGGGTCTCAAGTTCAAAGGAAATTACATGGAAAGTAAGCACAAGTTTATTCGTGGTTATTTCTAAAATTTCAATTAACTGATTAACTGAACAAAATTCATAATTAACTGATTTATTCTCAAATTTTAGGTAGATCTAGATAAATTGGATTACCACCACTACTTACCATTATTGTTTGAGGGACTTTCCGAAACTCAAGAACCATACATGTTCATTGCTCAACAAGGAATTCATGATATGTTACTCCATGGAGGGAAAAAAATATTTCCATGCATCCCACAACTAATAATACCAATCAAAAGTAAATTAATGAAATAATTTTTATTATATATTCAATATTTATATTGTTACAGATGCATTGAATACAAAAAATAATCTTATAATGCGCTCAACTTTGAAGGTGCTTCAGCATCTTGTTAAATCTGGTGATTATATCGGTGAAGCCCTAGTTCCATATTACAGACAAATTTTACCGGTTTTAAACATTTTCAAAGAGAGGAATGTTAATTGCGGCGATGGAATTGATTATAGTCAAGGAAAAGGTGAAAACTTGGCTGATATAATCAATGAAACATTAGAAACTCTTGAAGAGTATGGTGGAGAAGATGCCTTTATCAACATAAAGTATCTTATACCTACCTACGAATCTTGCATTATGAATTAAATTTCTGGCATAACCAATTCCAAAAGAAGGATAAACAATGAGAATAGTAGCAAATTATAGTTTTATTATACAAAATCTTAATTTAAACAGAAAATGAATATTAATTAAAACTTTATGATAGTAAATCAGTTTATTTATTTGGTTGTTTTGCCATGTGTTTCTCTAATTGCGCTCTTAACTGTTTATTGAAATCATCTTCTATATTATCATCCTCCCAATTATCTTCCCAAACACTAATATCTTGATCATCCTTCTCCTTTCCAGTCCAATCTAAGTAAAAAAAGAACGTTTTAAAAGCAAGTCATTATACATGACCTCAATGTTTAATTTTTTACCTTCAACCGGAAATTCCTCAAATTCATCGTCTTCTTCTAAAACCCCAAGATCTAATTTTGGTTTTTCTGCAGCCATTATTTATTTATAACGTTTAATAACGAAGATTTATTTTATTAATATAAACAATTTTTATATGTCAAAGAACCTTAAATGTAGGTTGTCAATTTGGTAGTACCAATATAAAAAAAATAAAAGTACTAAATCTGGAAAACATCTAAGTTTTGAAATTATGTTGTAACACAATTAACATGGAAATAAATACATATCAATTGAAAAACAAAAAATGAATATAATGGTAGCATATAATGTAATTAATATGAATAAAAAGCAATTTAAAAAATTTATTTAAACTTAGTGACATTTCATCAATTCCATTACCAACCTCACGAAGACTTTTTTGGGCACATTTCGTTTTTAAGAAATCAATAATTCTCTTTAATAAGCAAACAACGCGTCTTAAAAGCTACAAAATAAGAAACTTTGATTTTTTCTGAATAAGATAGGACGAAACTCCTCGCTTTTTAACGAATAGAAAAGTTTTGGCGACCACTTTGAAAATTGACATACACTTTTAATGAAAAATTATCCATTAAAAAATAATTTAACTCATTTCGAGTTTCAATGTTGGTAGTAACGGCAGAAATTCCCTGCTAAATTAGTTGTTGAAAAAGGTTATGTATTTATAAATATTAATATTTATAAAAATAATTGTAAATAAGTAATTGACCAAGAAAATTAATTAAATAAATTTAAAAAATACATAACGAAAACTTCAACTTCACATATGTTTTGATAGTTCGAATTTGACAACTTCTTTGTTTAAAAAACCATCAGATTTTTAAATGTAGAATATTAAATGATATCCAATTAAAATGGAAATGAAAGAGGAAATCGTAAATTACGTTCTAAACAAAGACGAAATTTTAAATGCGGTTCAATTACAACCTGCATTCACGTTGTTGTATAAAACATGTTTTAAATGTGCCTTTATCGATGAAAATATGGATGAAAATATATTAAATATCGATGTTGTTATTGATTATTTACACGATAAATTACACACTGGTCATTGGAGTAAAGTACCTATTTCTACAAGGAATGGATATGCAGCTGCATCATTTATAAAAGTAAATAAATAAATAAAATTAATTTAATAATCATTTATAATGTTTTTAAACATATAGGCATTGTTGTTATTAAAAACGATAGATGAAGACTCCCTTTCTAAATCATTGAAATGTTTGGATTTTGGAATTTTATTAGGTGGACCTTTGCCAGAGAATCCTGATTTATTACAAAAAGCAGCTACTCGTATTCATCAATCTTTAGTGACTATGAAAGAAAAATCTTCAATTTCTCCACCTGCACTAATATTACCAATGGAAGTATTAAAAAAGTATTCAAACATTGAAGGTGAAATTGTTTTCCCAGAATCTTTACCATCATTAGAAACGTTTATAAAAAATTATTTTAATCCTGAAATTCCAGTTGTAATTACAGGTAAATATGAACTTTCAAAAAGTAAAAACCATGCTAAAATTGAATATATTGTATTTAGGTGCAATACAACATTGGCCAGCATCACAAAAGTGGTTATATTTACCGTATATTCTCAAAATATTTGGAGAAAGAACAGTTCCTATTGAAATTGGTTCACAATATTCAGATGAAGATTGGTCTCAACAATTAATGACTTTTGAGGAATTTGTGAATAAGTTTTATCTTAATACATCTGATCAAATTGGATATTTAGCACAACATGATTTATTTTATCAGGTAAAATATTTTCATATTAATTAAAAAAATATATCCGTTCTAAAACTTAATTTTTCAAAGGTACCTGAGCTTAAAAAAGAATTTTCCATACCGGATTATTGCAGTGTAAGTAGATCAGATGAAAATGATGAAGATGTAGCTATTAACGCATGGATTGGACCCGAAGGAACAGTATCTTCATTACATTTTGACCCAAAAGATAATCTTTTAGCCCAGGTAACCATGTACTAACTTGAGCAATAAAAAAAGTAAACGATTTTCATGTTTTAGCTTTATGGGATTAAACAAATAATATTATTTTCCCCAAAAGATAGTGATAATTTGTATCCCCATCCATCAGAAATGTTATTTAACACTTCTCAAGTGGACCCAACACAACCTGATTTAGAAAAATTCCCAAATTTTAAAAAGGCTAAACCTTATAAGTGTTTATTACAACATGGTGATATGCTGTATATACCTAGAAAATGGTGGCACCATGTTACTAGTTATGATAGAAGTTTTTCGATTAATTTTTGGTGGTCTTAATTTTTTCTTGTTAATAATTTTTAATATATGAGCTGTACAGATTATGTATAATTACTTGAAATGGATGAAACTAAATAGGTAATCTGATAAATACCATCATGTGTGATACATACAATCTGATAATAAAGATTTTATGATGTTCACAAATATATTTACTTCATTTAGTATGAATATATGTTCTAAAGTATTTTGTACAAACCATTATTACAGTGACTACAAGCCAAACTCTAATAATATTTTCTTACTAAGAAATATTCAAACTAAAACAGCTAGGAAAAAAAGTAAATAGATTTTTAGTTATTTATTAATTGCATATTCAAAAAAAAAATTATTCACTGTAATAAAAAAATTTAAAAATAAACGAAAACAGTACAAAAACTAGGCACAAGACAAACTTGGACAATATCCAATTAAGCGCTAAATTAAGGCAGCCATAAGTAAAAATTACAAACAGTAGAAGCTTTGACAGTAGACAAGGGGAATACTTTTTTGTCTTATTCGCGTGGAAATCTAGCTTTTTAAGCGCGAATAACTGCTGTTATCACTACTGTTAAAGATTATGACCACAAAAGTAATGCACTAAAAGTAAAGAATGGTAATTAGAGTACACCAAGAGTACTCTAATTACACACCATGTACACCCCTACATGAAGCAACATACATACAGATTGGTTGAATGAAAACTCAGTAAAGAGCACACCTAGCAATGTCTAACTTTTATGCCTAGAATTTATAAGATTCTTGTCTGAGAGCGTCACTGCCTCTTTGGCCAGATTGAGCGCCTATTTATTACCCACAATGTCTGAAAAGTGGTTGTATTCGATCTTAAGGCTGTCTTAATGCGGCTTTTTGATCCCTTGATGCCTTAGTTTGGCTAATGGTAGAATAGAAAAAGGGTTGTCTGTTGAAAATACGTTTTTCGATTTACGTTGTAATGGTTGTCGGTAAATGAAATTCATTATTTTTCTTATTATGTTTATTCTGGATATTCAATTTAATAATTTATAAATTTTATAAACAGAAACTTCGTACTAAAAAAAAATTGAACGCTTGTGGCGCCATCTGTTGATGATATTTTGGAATTATTCAGCTAAGAACCGAACCATTAGAATACAGGTTGGATTGGGTTTATATATAAAAGCTCCAACCAAAGAATAACTGTTTGGAGCCACTATGTAGCTTCAATTAATGTTCCGACTGGTTGGGAATTCCTCAGATGCAATTACCTATGGTAATTACTAATTACACCTGTCAAATCCGCCACATTTGAATATCACTGCATCATATGATATGTGAGATTGCATCTGACAAGCTTCCAACCAGTTATAACGTTAGCTGAAACAAAGGTATAATGTCAATTATAATCTAATTATTTAATCATATCATTATTACTTTATTATTACTCTTACCGAAAAATCACTTTAAAATGACGTTTTCATCTGTCATTTTGAACAAACTTCAACTTTTGAAATTTTAAATGTTGAAGTTAGCGGCAAATTTAAAAATATAACACGAATTGGAATCTATACTTTTTAAATTAAAAGAATGATACTGGTAATAATTGTTGTTGCTGTCTCTCATCATTCCCACTATTAATAATAAAATTGTTAGTTTAATTAAATTATTTCGGTATAGACGCTAATGCCATCTTATGACATCAGTCCCAATTTCTCCTATCAAAGATCCCTGGGGTTGAATACCGCGAACAGGCTTCATGAACCGTGCCACTTTGATAATTTGAATTTAAGTATGCCATCTGTGTATCATAAGTATGACGTCAAATCAGTTGAATAAACATATAGGGAAATATAGAATAACATTTGTAAATAAAAATAATACCTACATTACCATCACCAAACACATGCTTGCCATTTAAATTTTAACTGTCATTCATAAGTATTTTAACCACCGTAAGCTGTAGATCGGTATAATTTTCGTAAAATAGCTGTAATCTAACGTGTTTAATCCTGTTGATGTGTTAAATATTAAATATTTTGTGTGCATAATAATCCCAAAAAGGTAAATATCCTATTATTACTTTAAAAGTAACTTATTAAAATTTTATTACAGCATGGATTCAAGTCAGGACTCAACCATGTTTTACACCCCTGAAAAAACCTCTCCAACAACTTCACAAAATAACACGTGTTTTAATGAAAGTTTTCACGATGTTCAAGATGGAAACTTGTTCTTTCAACCAACTCTTTTATTTGATATTAGCAATCGAATGTCTTTAATGTTACTTAAAAATTTAGATGAAATTGATATTACCAGACAATCGTTGGGGATCACACAAGATTTTATGGGGCTCCCTAAAGGACCTATTGATGCAAGAAGAGAATCGCTCGATTTTTGTCGCGAATCTTTAGGAATTTTACCCCCTAGTGTTATCGATAACGAATTTAATGATTCATTTTTATCAATTAATGTTAATAATATTTTAAATAAAAGGGTGGTACCTACAGAGGGTCAAAGTATTTTACAAAACGTGGATAAAAGTAATTATATTGAGGTATTACCTCCAACAGTAATATTGAAAGAAAATGAAATAGAATTTAATGAGAGTAATAAAAATTTGAATGATGCTGTGATTACATGTGAAGAGGAATGGAATGGTGTTGAAGAGGATGATAAAAAATATGTAAATATTTTTTTATAATAAAATTTGTTAAATTTGATTTATTTAGTTATTTATAGGATGATTTGGTGTTTATGGAAGCGACACTTTTGGCTGAAAAAATTAAAGATACTTCTTTTTCTAGTGAAGGTAAATTAAAAAGTAATTTTAAAAAATTTAAACTGATTTTATTTTTCTTTTCCATGGAAGAAAGTGTAATTTGTTGTTTAGAGTCTATAAGTCCACCGGATTGGGAAATAGAAAATTATGAAGAAATATGTGATTTAAAGGAATCTCAAAAAGATGATTCTCCAATAAAATGCAATGCATCTAATTTAAGTAATGAATTAATTCCGAATAAAACAAAACCATCAGAATCTTATGAAAATGTGTCAAAAATTCATCACAAATCATATTCAAGTCAAATTTCATGCACAAGTAACGTTTCTTCACAAGATGCTAAAGAAGTTTTAGAAAATTTATCTGATATTCTTTCAAACGCAAACCTAAGCAATGATCAAAAATCAGAAAGTCAAGATCTTCTTGATATTTTAGCAGTAATGTTGGGTACTAGTAGAACTTCATCCAAAAAAGAATCATCAGATGATTCTGGGCACTCTTCAATTGAAAACAATCAAGCAAATCAGACTGAAATTATAAAAGAAAATACTGATATGGTTAAAAAAGATGAAAATAAAGTTAAAATCAACAAAGCAGAAATCAATAAAGTTGAAGATAAAAACATACCTATAGATCTTTCTGTAACAGGAAGTAAAAGACCATTACATAAAAGATTAGAACCTCCTGGACCTGCAAAGGTATCACCAATTCCTAAAGTTCTTAAAAATTGTAGAATTAATATTGCAAGTACATTAAAATCTTTTAATGTTAAATTAAATCCTAAAAAAAATGAAGAAAGAAAAAAAGGACCATTAAAAGCTATTTTACCATTAGGAAATATGGCTAAAGGTAATTAATTAATTAACTGTTTAGTGTTGATTAAATTACTTACATCCTTTTTCTTAAGTTTTGAGTAAACAAAATAATACTCCCATAGCTTTGGGGTCTTCGCATGGAAATAAAAGTACTAGAACAAGCAAAAACGTTTGTAAAAAATTTATCTTCTACAACATAATAATTATAGGGTTTTTTTTTATTTTTAGGATTCAAATATAGCTCCAGTAGCTCAATCAACGCCAGAACAAACAATTCAAAATAGTCCATCACAATTACTAAAACGCAAGTTTTCTTGTCCTGTCTCTCCATTAGCAAGACCAAATTCTTCTAGATTAGCAAGGTAAAATATGAAATAAAAATCTAGAGTGAATATCAAATTTAATTAATTTTTTTCTTTCCAGTTCTAAAGTGCCAAAACCTACAATGTCCAGAACGAAGTCGTCTAATGAAATTACAACTGAAAATCAAACTTTACACAGATTACAAAGAAGTTTAAGTGCAACTGGGGTGGCGAAAGATGTTAAGCCTTCTATTTCTAATTTAAGTCTAGACAAAAAACGTTTTAAAAGTCTTGGAGTATGTTTTTAATTAATTCGATTGGATTGATTTAATAAGTTCTATTTTTTTTTTAGATATCCAGGTACAGAAAATCTACTGGAAAAGAGAATGTGCCGCAATAGATTTTCATTCAATGGTTTTTTTAAAGATATACGTCCATATTCAAGTTGTGATGATTAAAGTACTTCTATGATTATAAGATTTTTTTTTTAAATTGATTTTATCTCGAAATAAACATTATTTTTCTAATTGATTTCTTTTCATAACCTAAAGGATTACAACACTAAATATTTTTTGTAAAAGCAAGTCTAGTGTTAGTTTTAGTGACGGTGCTAGGTAGCGCTAGTTAGCAATAGATATCTCTCTGTTGTATATTTTTAGTAAACTAAAACTAGAAGCAACACAAGACCTAGGAACATTCGGTAAATTTTCTAGGTCTAGTTTCAACGCTTCTACACCAAGTGGAATTTAACAACTCTCCCACCAGCCAGGACTGGCAGATACATAGAACATACCCTTTCTGTCAATCCTAAAAAGACTGAGACTGTTCTCTTCACTAAACAGAAGAAACTGGGACACTTAACGGCACCCAATTTCTGTAATAATCCATTAACCTTTGCTCCAGAGGTGAAATATCTGGGTGTTATTTTGGACAAAGGACTAACTTGGACATCACACATTAGTTGCAAAACCAAAAAAGCAACGATTGAAAAAGACCCAGTGCCGAAGGGCTATTTTGAATACTTGGGGAGTAAAACCGAAAGTTACAATGTGGATCTACACTTCTGTGATAAGACCCATGGTAGCTCACGGAGCCATAGTTTGGTACTTAGCACTAAAACATGCATATAATGCCTGCTAATCACAGGCGTCATGAGATCTACACCTACGATTGCGATGGAGACTATGCTGAACGTGCTGCTCCTATATATTTTTATCAGGGAGGTGGTCGTGATGGCGTTGCTTCGATTGCGATCAGTAACTGAAAAGCAGGTTGTTAAAATGGGAATAGTCCGGAGCAAGGTCTGGAGTAAGGCTGTTTGTAAACAACATCTCCTTAAAGCTCGCACAGACTATATTACACCTACTTTCTTAGGCAAGCCACACTTTGGCATTGAAACAATACCCCAGAGCAACTCAAGCTCGGGCAAAACGCTGACCATCTACATTGATGGATCAAAGAAGGCTGGAGGTTCCGGAGCGGGAATTTTCTCGCAGGATCTCCAGCTGCACCTTTCTACTTCGTTAGGATCATATTGCACGACTGCTAAAGCCGAATTAACTGCATTTCTGCAGTGCAGAAACGTTGTAATCTGCACTGGCTATGCTAGCGGTTGGTAGACACCACACTGCATTATCGTTGGTGAAGTCCTGTCGGCAATCACTTGAGGAGGCAAACGTATACAACAACGTCACGTTAAAGTGGCGAAGAGGACACAACGGAATTAAAGGACATGATCATGCGGACAGGCTGGCGAAACGGGCGGCTAACAAGTCACCGATCTTCCCTGAACCGTTTGTACCACTAGCTGTTAATACAGCATCAAAACTGATAAACTCCATCTCCCATCGAGCTTTTTGCAACAGATGGAATGGGATAGCAGCAGATGTCTTTGCTAAGAAAATTTTGCTCTACCCTGACCGGAAGAGATCTACTCAGGTTCTGGGAGAATTAAAAAGTGACTTGAGGCTTCTCACCCACTTCCTGACCGGTCACTGCAGGTTACGTAAATACATGTTTTAGATGAAGTTGGCGAATACACCCCTCTGTAGAGGGTCTGAAATGGAAGGCGAGACGGTAAGTCATATTGTTTGTGACTATCCCAACCTCGCGTACTTAAGGGAATCCATTTTCGGAGTACCATGGCTCCAAATTTCGGATATAAGGAATTTACCTTTCTGTTCTATATTAATGTTGATGAAAAGATTGGGCTGGTTTTCTGACCCTTGAATGAACAGTAATTGTGGGGACGTACAAAGGGCCCGCTGGGGCCTAAGTGCTGTGAAGAAACTCACCCCCACGTGAAACTACATAGTATTAGTTCTAGTTTTAATTGTTATTCAGCGCTAGGTTGTTGTATATTTCTATTGAAGTAACACTAGACTTAGAAACATTCGGGTTTAGTCGTTTTAAGAGACGCACCGCTAAACTCGAATGTTTGTAGTCCTAAGTGTTACATAAAAAAAAATGTATAACAACTAAAAGTGTCAGGTTTAGCGGTGTGTCTGAAGCCAGATTGTTTGAAAATGATAAATCAAATTTTCTTCATTATTTTAGGATCTTATATTGTATGGAGTATGCAAATAAACTGAAAAAAACTTTTGAAAGAATTATATTATTAAAAATAAAAAAGAATTAAAGAATTTGTAAAAAAAGCCAACATGATTTATTTGGTGTCTACAATCGGAAATAATCAATCTTACATCTAAAATAGTATAATTTATTTATAAACCTAAATTATTGATATAATTAATAAATGTAATGAGTAATGATTTTTCTTTAATGTAAATTTAGTTATCTATTTGTGTTCTCGTACTGCACGATGGTTCCTCACAACATTGACGAAAATAAAGTTAAACACAATGGAATCAAAAAAAAAGACAATAAAGAAAAATACAATCTTTGCGAAATAAATTTACGTTACGGAAATACAGAAAAAAACGTTATGTTGCTAGTAAGGCTCTGTTCATATGTGATAATATGTATGTACAAAGAAAGTAATCCAGACATGGCACTTTTCGGCAAAGTAGAGTTTACTTATTCTTTTTTGAATAATTGCTTTATCCTATATTCAGGGTTTTTTATCAAATGGAGGGTAACATTCACAAAATTAACAAACACAAGGAAAATCTTTAACTGATTATTCAAAAAATTAATTTAGCTTCTAAGATGCAATCACCGTGCTTGCATATATACAATTTGTACAATTCATGATGCATGAGATATTACCGTTCATTTAAATACTATTATTATCGTTAGTTAGTATCATATAATTTACACTTTTACAAAGGCTGTACAGAAATAAAAATGATAATGCTCAATAAAAAAATAGTGGCGTTCAAAATCCAAGCTGTAAAGATAAAACTTTTTGTCCTGCTAAAAGTAGTATACAAGGCAACGTTATAAATATTTTACGCGTTTTTTTTTCTTCATTTTTGCTACACTCGCATATTTATATATATATAAATATATATATAGATCGTCTCTCGGAAATATATACAAAGTACGAAAATATACAAATACGATATTATACCGGTAAAACGAATAATTCTCGATTCAATCATCCAAGCCAAACATAGTTAAAATGGCATTAGTACATTACCAAAAAAATTTTTTTAAGAACATATACACCTTAACAATTTAAGTTTTTTGTTTAATACTGCTACAAATAGAAGTAGATAGAAAAAATAAAATTTTATATTGGAATAAATATATTAGAGAAGAATCAAACTATGTTATAATGATCAATTTTGTTATAAAAGGTATCATTTCTTTTGAATAAAAAAAAATTCGTAATAAAAAATTTCATAATCTAATTTATTTGATTTTTCTCTAATAGTTTAATCTAGGATAATAATCTGCACACTATTTTTTCTGACTAAGATGTTCGCGTAATACAGTTAAATGTCAAATATTTCCATCGAGTGTGTAAATTTAAGCAAACCCTGAATAAATAGAAATCGACAACACAGTTACTGGGCGTACACATGAGCGAAAAAAAAATTGGTTACATTTTAGATTATTGTTTCCTTTCCGTTACTCACTTTTAATTTTATTATTTTTTTTTTCACGTTAAATTACCAAGTATACTAAAATTTATCCTGAAAAAGGTATAAGTTGTTTGTGGCAGCTACCGCAATTATATTTTCGGTAGGATGCCATGCAGTGTGTAATATTTTCTTATTAAAATCTAAACAGTCCACACTGATTTCGTCTTTCTTCCGTTTTCCCCCGGTGCACACCTTTCGCGGCTTTAGTATTGTCCGTGGTTTCGCGATGTCTTTGGACGCTTCGAGTGTAACTTCTCGCTTTGTAGTTCTGTCGAACATTCGGAAGAAATTATTATAGGAACCGGTTATTATTGCCGTGTCATTGCCGTTCCAGCAGCACTCGAATTTGTCAAATATGCAATCGTTCTCATAGAGCGAACACAATTTCGAACGGAAGTATTCATGTACCTACAAAAATATAACAAATGTTAAAAATTATGTTTTTAATCAAAGAATCAAAGTTTTTAATCATCCTATGTTAATAGTTATTTAGACCTTGTTATTTTAGAATGTTGTAAGGCTAAAAAGCCCGATTCAATTTTTGTCAGGTTGATAGTATGATTTTCTAGAACATTGAGCTTGTATCGTCTTAGGTTCAAACCATTTAGTTGCTGCACTAACTAGATAAATGGCAAGAATAGCTATAAATGCACATGAACAAGCTAAAACCTAACAAAATATACAGAGTGTTTCACTTGAAATTCCCAGGCCAAGCATCTTTGGAATGGGTTGAGATATTGTAGTTTTGTAAGAAGTTGTTGCAAGAATTTGTAAATGACTTCAGTTATATTGTTAATTGCTGTATTGCTGCAGTTAAAAGAAACTTTCCCTTCAACCAAACGTTTTTATTAGGTGCAAGTGATAGAACATCAAAAAACTATGCAACTATCCTAAACAACAATGATTTCAAAAACTTAGTAGTTTCGAAGATATTTACTTTTAATACTGAGACTATTAAGAAGATAAGTTAAATATGATTTTAATTTATGATGAATGTTGCAAACTGCGATATCCCGGTTAAAAACCAGTTCGAGATGATGAAAACTGCAATGATCTTGCAAATAATAAATGACAACTCGCATAAATCATTGTGGCAAGTTTATGCTACATGTCATCGAATTTAAAAAACAAATAAATTTTTGCTCAACATTTACAACCAGGCGACGATATCCGTTGACTTCAGTTCTAGGCTGAATTTTCAGTTTTTGCATAAAGCGACAACTTGCTCAATAACATTCTGTGGTGTAACGAAAGTCGTTCCATAATAATGGAATAGTAAGCAAGCAAAACAATCGATATTGGTCTTAAGACAATCTTAATACAAACAAATAATCAATAAATATATAATCAATAATAATAAATAATGAAAAATGTAATAAAAATGTATGAATTCTATTCTTCTTTTATGTTAATATGGGAAAGTTGCACAGTTTTACATGCTCTATCACATGCACCTAATAAAAAGTTTGTGATGAAGACAGTTGTGACTGCAGCGCCATTTTTATTTTTGTATAATGAATAATAATAACACTTAAGAACTGAAGTCATTTAGGTCCTCTACCAACAACTTAAGATATCTCAACTTATTCCAGAGATACTTGGCCTGGGAGTTTTAAATAAAACATCTTATATACAGGATACGGCAGAACAATTAAGCGATTTTCATGGCCGAAATCGAATGTTGCATCAAAGAGCATGAGAAGGATATCAAACTGATTACGATCTAGAAGTCAGCAGTTGCAGAGCATTTCCATAAAAAAGGACACCATAGATAAAACCAAGTTGTAAGCCAGAACAGAAAATTATTACCAAAGGATGAGAAAAACGAGGTGATAAAAAACCATCCACATAAAACTATGAATAGGGAAGACGGCTAGCAACTTAGCCGCACATAAAAAATGGTAGTTAACTCGACGAAGTCTTCCCCGCCCAAACTTGACAAAAACACTTTGTTGGAGTTTCCTACACGTTTCAACACGCTTTCAAATTCGTTCCTCAACTGTACCTGCATTGACATCGTTGATTCATGTAGTTGCTCATACAATCATTGTACAGGTGGCCAAATAAACGCGCAAAGTACTGTATCTCGGAAACTACTCCTTGTAGAAACTAGAGCCGTCTTTAGAGACGTGCGACTAAACTCAAATGATTCTAGTTCTAAGTAGTGTTAGTTCTAGTTTTACACTTGCACTGTCATTAGAACTAATATTAGACCTAGAACTAGAAACATTTGGGTTTAGCTGTACGTCTCATAAGACTGCTAAACCCGAATGATTTGAAAACTAGAGCTAACACTAGACCTAGAAAAAAAAATCGAAAAATGCCCTCTAGTGGCGACGTGCTAACTTACAATCACTACAAACAAGGTAGGATTTGTAGTCCAAGAAAAGCTTTTTAAATTATATCAAGCTTATTAAATTCCGTTTAGCCATTTTGAAATTATTCGCATTTGCTTACAAACATTTTCGAACACCCCTACCACTTTATTTTTAGAGATAAAGCAAAAAGTGTTTTAACAAAAAAACTATCACTTATACAGGGTAATTCAAAAAAACCGCTAACAGACTTCTAGGGCAGGAAATACATCAAAAATTAAGATGAAAAGTTTTAATATACATGTATGGGGTCGCAAATGCCTCCTTAACGAGATATAGCGGGTCAAAGTTACTTTAAAATTAAACATTATCTGCAATAAAAAGCCCTTTTTTAAAAATATTTTCAACGCTACTCCTAATTTTGGTGTAAAGTGATCAATTGTCTATCAATTGGTCTCTTACAAAACTTTGATTAAAGCAACAGTTTTTGATTGGATTAACAAATTTTCTACAAACGTATTTTTCTTAAAAAATATTGTTTTGATCAAAGTTTTGTAAGAGGTCAATTTGATGACCCTCAGAAACAGTAGTGGCAGTAATTATTACCCCAAAAAAGTTCCTGGACGTGATTTATGATAGATCCTCCTAGCAAACTAGGTCCAGGGACGCACTTCTTTTTTTATTTTATTTTAAATTCAACAAAATAAAACAGAAATGTAGTAAAGAATATAAATTTACTTATACTAAAATGATTTTACAAAAAAAAGCAAGTATTAATAAATAATATAAAAATTAAAACATATATTTTTTATAGTTATCTTAGAATTTGCGTGAAAAGATAATAAATTATATAATTATAATCATAAATTATTTAAGCAAATGTACTTTTTAGATAGATTTAAATAAATTGTTGTATTTTCACATAAAGTAATGATATTTAAGTTTTTAAATAATGATATTTTTGTAATTTCCGTTAATGTGGACCTGAACTCACGCCAGAGTTTGGAGTTCCTATTTTACAACCCCGTCTTTGTTCGTTATATGACTGCAATTAAGTCATAAAAACCACCAGAAATATCGGAAACTATACCAATTGATCACTTTACACGAAAATACTGCCTGTTTGACAAAATTAGCAATAGCGTAGACAATATTTTAAAAAATGGGTTTTTTATTGCAAATAATGTTTAATTTTAAAGAAACTTTAACCCGCATCTTCATCTTAATTTTTCATGTATTATCTACTCTAGAAGTCCGTCAGCGGTTTTTTGAATCACCCTGTATAAACTTTAAAAGGCAGATATGCTCTTTTTTATGTTAATATAGAAGAATTCCAAGAAAAACCACATTTTCTAATTCAAGATGACGCTTGCGCCCCTTAGCGACTAAAGTCCCTAGATTTACAAAGTACCGCGGTTCGTGAAGCCTGTCTTCGAGCCAAAATGGCGGTTTGACAGCTTGTCACTGCATCTCACCACTTATTTACAAAAATATTGCCGTCTTCTTGCCTTTGGAGTTGCAAAAATGACAGTAAGAAGGACTTTCGACTCTTCAGAGTACCATGAGAAAAAAGAAAGGAAATTTGGCGTAATGTTATCAATAGAACGACATAGTTTTAAATTTCCTGCTTGACTTTCGAGCCAAAATGGCGTTAAACCGCGGTACTTTGTAAATCTAGGGAGTTTATTAGCGACCATCTTAGGTCGCTAAGTTATTAATCTCATCATCTTTAGTTATTATTTTTTTTTTGGCCACCCTGTACATACTGATTATAAATGCGTTTTTATCATGAAAGTAGATAGTAGATTAGCCATAATCTTTGAAAATTATTTTTTTTTGTAGGTTTAATTAAAAATAATTAAAAAAAGAAATTAAGAAGTAAAAACAAAGTAAAATAGATTGCCTAATCTTTATTGCAAATGTTGTCATTGAGCCATGTTTCAAATAGGTACTGATAAGTTTCAAAAAAGATAAGAAAATAATTCGAACTGTAAGGAAACAGAATATGACAATATCACAAAGCTAATTTTTCTAAAATAATAAAAAAAAAACATAAATATTTATCATTATTTTTGTTATTATTTCTTTCCATTTTTATATTTAGTTATAAGATAATATTGGCTCATAGAGAGAGCTAAAATAAAATTATCCATCTAAATACACATAGTTTTATTATCTTATAAATAAATATTTATGTTAATGAAATAAATCAGTAATTAGGTGTAAATTAAATTCTTTTTTTATAAAAAAAATTGATTACTTACTGGATAAGTTTCAATAGGTTTAGTTTCCATATGAAGATCCCAAACTTTAACTGATAAATAATCTCTAGAAATCATATATCTGCCGGAATTGGAAAACTTAACGTCCGATATGCTGGAAATGATTTCTGAGAAGAAGCTTCTATTTGCTGGATCTTCTGGCTCCTCAAATAATTTAGAGTGACGGTCGCAAAGCGCCGACGCTCTCATATCGCATAACCGAATTGTACCTTTACTACTACTATACACAAATAGGTTGCACTCGACTGGATGGAATTCAGCGGCCGTTATCACTTCAGTTAATTCCTCCATGTTCGTTGGCTTAATATCTACGATGTTAAAGCTCTGATCGGTGATTTCTAGATTCCACAGATTAATTCGAAGATCGTCGGCGGATAAATAGGTTTCTTGATCAGAATTCACTGATATTGAATTAATGTGATAAGTGTGTGCATTTGCGAAGATTCTCCGTGGCGAAGCCTCCACCATGAGCTCCATGGGTTTAATACATGGCACCCTGAGGGAGTGTACGCTCGCAGGATCCACTAAAGCACCATTTTCCGATCTAGTGTTATAACCCTCAACCTTCTTATCACGTTCCGAGACCTTCCACAGCTTGATTGTTTTATCATTGGTGGAGAGGAGGAAATGTGCGGGATTTTTCCTTTTCAACCATCGGATTTTATTGATTTTTTCCTCAATTTCTAAACTTTTAAGATAATCAAACTCAGGCTCATGGGATTGGAAGGTCGAATACACATTGTACTCGCCGCGGCGAGGGAGGGCTGCCTTTGACTGTGCATCTCTTTGAAAAATGACGACCCTACCGCCTTTATCTCCTGTCGCCAATAATTCACCATCATGATTAAATTCAACGCAAGATATAATATCTGCTTCAGTAACATCATCGTCTAGTGTTCCTTTCACTTGTGAAAAGCACCATTGAATATCCCCATTTCCTACAAATATCATAATATTTAGATTACTCATATATGTACTTACATGTATTAAAAATGATAAAAGTTTTGGATTAAATATAAAGTTTAATTACAAAATAAAGTATAAAATACAACAAATATAAAGTATTTGTTAGTTACATCAAGTAATAATTTGCTTTTGTGTTGATGCTGGTTGAATAATGAATAATTTTTTGAATCTAAAATGTCAAGATCCTAACCTCACTTTTTTCATGCAAGTGACATTAAAACGATGCCGTTTTGTCTTTAAAAAAAAATAGTGTATGATCAACAAAAGTTCATCTACAATGTAATGAATACGATTAAAATTGGTCTAATTTAGGCATCAAACTGAACTTGATTGCTTTTTTCCCTCCAACAGAAATTTAAAGGTTAAAATGATTAGGAAAGCAACGCACCATTATATTATTTCGAGCGACAAAATAGTTTAAAGTTATTATTTTTACCTTCCATTATTTAAGAAATATAAGATGGGTATTTAAGTCTGAAATCAGACGGCGGAAACGGCATCGAGGTCAGGGTTGCATTTTACACCATGGCATTCGTAGAACGATTTCGTCCGCCATTACGCGTTAGTTACGTAGAAAACGCTTAAAAATGAAACGCGGCCCCAAAAACGACCGAACCACAAACCACCTTAGCCGGCTTATTAAAACGGTTACTTTTTGATTTTCGTGCGGTTACCAATCAACGTTAAAACGTTTTAATGGCGTCCGCACGAGGAATCACGCTCGCATAACAGTGGTAGTGCAGTGACGTCATGGCAAATTATCGACTGAGAAACTCACTCTACGTTATGTCAACCTCGAAACGGTCTCACGTACTTACGTTACCTTTGCACATTTTTATCTATCCGGGATTATGACGTTAGCTTTCATTCACATCACTACCTTTTCTACTGATTGAATAAACCACAGTATCGATGAATCGTCTTTACAACACAACCTTAAAATGCCGTTTTTTTCTTCTACAAAATCGAAGAGACAAGCCATTTTACTCAGTAAAAACTCGCGGGTTGTGTTGCCAACCTAAAATTTTTAAATTCCCCGCGAAATTTTAAATTTAAAAATTTTTAACGATCTTTTAAATTTTTAGGTTTTAAGTGAACTCTTTTATTTAAAGTTCAGATAAACAATTAAATCCCACGTTGTGACTATTAAATATAAAGAGAACTATTTTTATTGTTTTTATATTTTTTAGGTTGTATGATTTGTGAACAGATTAATGTTATTGTCATAAAAAAACGATAAGTACTTAATACATAGCTTTAAAATTTAATTAAACAATAATAAAAAAGCTCATTATGTACCTTGGATCAGTATTTGTTAAATGATTACCGCAGTATTTAAAAAATTGTTTAGTATTTTAAATAAAATGTATGTAATATACGTCAAAATTGGATATCATAAAAATATTATTAATAATAAGGTATCACTTTGCTATTTTAAATGAAATGGAACAGTTTTTATTGCAAATTCTTATTCTCCATATAAAAACGTTCCATGTTACTTTAATTTAAAAGTTTTTATAGTAATAATTACAACGGTCTTTAAATCTGTTTTTGAGCCATTAAGTTTATATAAACTTATATAAACATATAAAAAGTGATGACCAAGAAACAGTATTGCAGACTAAACCTAACCCAGCTGAAAATATCTCTTCAACATTGTTACTTAAATAATAATAGCGAGTATAATAAGTCAACAACATCATTGTCTTTTACGCCACCACTATCGTCTATAGTATAGTTTAGAGATCGTCTCCAACAGTGTATTGCCATCTCTTAACCTAACATTTGTTCCTTCTTTTGTGGAGTTTCACCATATATCCATTATTTCATTTAGGTTTCGTCCTACCACCATGCACAACAGAAGAAGTCAGTGATTCAAGCCTTGTCCCAACAAACAGAAAGGATATGTGACGGAAAGAATTTGAAGAAAGAAGAATTTCTAGAAGATGTACTTAAGAAGAACGAATGTCGCATCAAGAAGCATGAGAGGGATGTCAAACTGATTAAGATCCAGCAGTCGCAGAGCATTGGTACAAAAAGGGACACCATAGACTTCGATAAGGCCAAGTTGTAAGCCGGAGCAAAAAATTACAACTAAGCTAGAACAACATCAAAGTAAAGAAGTAACAAAACTCAACACGATGCGAAACAATAAAATCCCAGACTCAGAGGAATTCAAATTGAATTAATCAAACACAGTCCAAAAGTAATGAAGGAAGCCTTAGGAAACATTTTTACAGAATACCTGAAAGGGAGAGGTTATTAAGCATACTAGACAAGTGGAAACATGCGCACATAACCCTGATTCATAAAAAGGGTGACAGGAGAAGAGGGATTAATGTTACTAGTTCGATTCGGATGGCAAATGAATGGAGTGATATAGAAGAACAAAAAAGTGGTTTTAAGGATGATAGATCATGCATGAATAACATATTGTGTTTGACATAATTAATAGAAAAGCACTATACGATAAATTGGGAAACATATTTAGTCTTTATAGACCTTAACCCAACCCAACCCTCGCATTACCATGATAAAAAACTTAAATGTTTTTTGAAGACGATAATACACCAGGTATTATTTTGAAATTTATCCACTACAACACATTTTTTTGTTGCAACACATTCAGGAAGCATTATTTTACGATCAAATTAATGACAGCGTGCCAGGAATCAAATTGTTTGACATCTTAGACAACATAAATCATCATAAATCGGAAGTATGGTAGGGCTATAAAAGAACTGTGTAGTGCCACAACATCGGCAGTACAAATAATTCAAAATAATAGACAGAATAGAGAGAGAATAGGCGAGAATAGATGGCCAAAAAAGATTTGGAAGTGGATTTAACATGAAATCATAGAAGAGGAAGACCCTGGAGAATATAGGTGTAAGGCGCGATGGCGGCTCATGATTGTTAGACAATTGTCCATGTTAGTTATAATTTCGCATGCTGTATTGAACCGCTATGATGATGATTCTTGGCAGATTATATAGACCATTTAAAAACTCTCGTATTACCTCGAGGATTCTCGAGAATACACAGAATGATGATGATAGAACAAGCCGAATAGAGCAATGAATAATTTTTGTTTCTTGACGAGTGAAATTCCTGAAGATGGAAAATTAATTCCAAAACTGGTTCAATTGATAAATTGATAGTAGATAATAGTGGAGTAAAATTTTTTTATGATTGTTTTATATTGAATGCAATTTGTCTCGTACCTATAGCTCTTAAAAAATGTAGTCTATTTACATTGCGTGACATAGTATTTATAGCTTTCAATAAATTACAAAATGTAGGTCAACCCTTATAGAAGGTACGAATGTGTATATTTTAAGACCAAAGTATACAATCGTTAATTTAAAAATTTTAATTGCACCTTACAAAAATAGTATCGAAAATGTATTGCGAATAAGATGTAATCACTAACAAAAAGTAGTGATGTATAAGTGTAATGATAATTATATTAAATAAAATTATTACCCGGTGATCGTTTGGTGGCGCTCACTGCGTTGTTGATGAGTCCTCCAAGTTTCCCCAGGCCCGTATGGCGCATAACCGGGGGGCTGCTTCGTGCCCCCAATTTCCGAACTGCCACTGGTGAGGCCCATAGGCCGATGACACCACCGTGCTTTATAGTACCCACTTTTCTTCTTTTTTATTTCTGAAACAAATTCTTTACATTTACCTTACATACAAATAAAAGCAAGAAACGAAAAAATACAATTTCCCATTTATCTTATTGTTAGTAATTCTCATTAGATGTTTCTATTTAAAGATCAGTGTCATGGTCTAACGTAGAAATTCAATAAAGTCCCCCAGACTCCGATTTCGATGTACTCGTTTGAACGGCACTATTGTTGACATATTGGGAACAGACTGTGCGGTATTAGGAGGATAATCGATGAAGGACATGTAACTTGTGTTTAATAGTAGGTTAGAGGTTTCAACACAATCTAAAATAGAATCAAAAAGGAAATTATTTATGTTATTTGTGTCGATTTATAATATAATAATTGCCGTTTGAGATAAGTTTTAGCGAAACGCTGTCAAGAACCCTTTACGTCTCGCACATTCTCGACAGAGACACCAAGCAAGTTCTGAAAACCCTTAGGGGTTGGAAGATAATTTTAGAATGCGGCGTCGTTGACCCAGTTACCACTTCAAATTACTGCATATAACGTTCTTAAATCCTTTGAACTAAACGAAATATTTTAACTATGCGTTATCGTTCAAATTGTTAGACATATTCCACAAAGAGTTCCAAAAATAATGATATTTATTTCTGCAACGTCACTACGCAAGGTTATATGTTACTTAACAGGATGGAACGATTTAAAAGTAAACTTACATCTTAATCGCCAAATGTAGTGTAAGTTAAATATGAAATCACCTTGAAATGTAAACATTTTAATTGATTGTTAAAATTGTGATCTATATTATTAATAAAACAACGTCAGTGTCAAATCGTACTGGTGTCAAGGTATGTATTAATCAACAAAGACAAAATTTTCGTAATCTAAACGGTAATGATGCACATGATATAATATATATAGCAGATTTAATAAAGGAATGGCCCCATCATTAACAAAATCGGAACATTGGTTGACGTTGATGTGTTGTTCTCAATGTAAGCAAACTCCAGATGAATCCCCAATTTACATTTGCAGTTTGGGACATTCGCTTTGTTTGAATTGTTTCAAAAATTTAACTCACCACGGTGAAGATTTCTTTAACAAAACATTTCAATTTTGAATTAACTATAAAATTATAGGTGTACCTAAATGCTCAACGTGCAAATCAACCAAATTTACGGCAAAAATGGTGTCTTCAGATTTCCTGAAAAAGTTAAAAACTCGTCCTGGTATAGGTAGACCGTATCGATACGGTAAAGTGGATCAAAATCAAGCATCATCCAAGAATTTTTCATTTTCCCAAGATAATATGAAAACTAACGATGAAACTGTAACCATCGAAAAGCTCTTTCAAATGTCCACCCATGAATTACAAAGATTTTTCGATGAAACATCACGAAGAAGAACGAAACTCACAACTTTACATGCTGGCGCGAACAAGAGTCGCATGCCACCAAAACCTCTAACAAACAATACTAGTTGTGTATGGTCCTCACACTATTCTAATCTTTTAAAGGATGAAAGTGTTCCCGGGACGAGTTCGGACTTGAATAGAATTCAAAGTTTTACTTCATTACAAAGTCGAAAACCATTACGGTGTCCACATAATCCTTGTGGAAAAATCATAGCCATGTCATCGTTTCAATTGCACTTTAAGCATGAACACACCGATATCCCAAAGACTTCAATGGACCGTGGAAAAACGTTAACGATCAATTTGAAATCGACTAATTTCGAATATAACCGAACTATTTGCATAAATATGGTGACAATTAGGGAAGAGAATGAATTGAGCACGATAACTAATCCAAACGGATTTAATGCCAACATTGCTAGAAAATTTCCGGAAAAAGTCGTCGTTGGAACATATTGGTTGATGATGAGCGGTTCTCGAGAAACGAAACGGACGCACGCTTACATGCTTTTTTGGTTATTCACAAACGAAACGAAAGAACAAAGTACTAACGTCAATTGTACGATAGAGATTGCATCTGAACACGATGAAATGGCCTATTCAACTTTTTGTTCCATCAATATACTTCCCGACGATCTCTCAGCTAACGCAATTGCAAAAGGATTGAATTGTTTATACGTCACTTATGGTGGGATTGAAACTTTACTGTCGTATGGACCAAACCTTTTACTCAGGCTTACTGTACATTAAAACGTAATGTCCGTTTGTTATAGAACAACAATATTGTTAATGTAATTGTAGTAGATTGAAATGTAATACTATATAATTTTTATTAAAAAATGTGAAAGTTTGAATTCAATAATAGTAGTAATATAATAAATAAATGATAAAAAAACCTTGATCGAAAAGAGTTATCGATATTAACATCTTTTTGGTATTATTTTAGTAAACATTACGTAAACATCTTTTTAAAAGTTTTATTTAATTTAAAAATGATCTTCATGCTAAACAAATAATAATTTCTGAAATAACACTGTGTATTTATAGTTGAAATGCTCGTGAATCTTCCTTAAGTGTTTAGAAAACTTAAAATATTTGACTTCAATTTTTGCATAGTTTTAGTTTTGAGTTTACTTTGGATTAAAGTGCGTGGGAAACGTCATTGGATTAAAATTATAACATAAATCATGAGATTCGGACATATAAACTTCCTTTCAAGCAAGATCCTGTTGGCTAATATTAGCTAAACATAGCCTCATAAAACTTTACGACATTGCACAGCTTTGATCGTTGTGTTTAACCAGAATCTAATATAATTTTCTCAAATACCATAATACTTGTTATGTGGGCGGTTTGTGTCCGTATAAAATGCATTCTTTACAAGTATGAATACGTGTTGAAAATTGTACTTATAAATAATTATAAACAAACAATTGTAACTATTACGTGTTGGTTAATAAAAAAAATCAGAACAATAAAAGCAATAAACTACATAATGTAATGCTTATATAACACTTCATGAATGATTAACAATGAAAAAATGGCATATACAATTTTGTATTTTATACATAAACCAATTTTAATTAAAAATGAAGTTTTTTTTTGGTATGGAAATTTTTCCAAATTAGTAAAGATCTAAACGTTAGCACTAAATTATATCAAGCGTTGAAAAGGTTGATTCTCCCAATGGGTAAAGTGGGTAAGTGGGAAATTATTTCTTTAAAACGTTCATTCCTAATGTCGTTCCCGAATGCCGATTCTTCTCTTATATGATGGCCACTCCACCAATTTAGACATCAAATTGATTGATAAATCATTAAAAATGATGTTATAATTCTAAAACTATCTCTACAGTCAACTCATCTACTATAACCAATGGAGTTGGCAGTTAAGAGTCTGAAATTATGATGAGATTCAAAGTTAACCGAACTTCAAAGGAACGTGTTGGTAGGAAGATTCCTAAAAAAGAATTTTACATATTTCTGTCCACAATTTGGCAAAAAACTCCAACAGATTTATTAATTTCTGTAAGCACCACCAACTTTTTCTTTTTGGCGTTTCGTCTTTTGCTCACTCAGAGTTGATGTTGTAGTTGTTTCTAGCCAGTTCATCAGCAAGATTTAATAGAGAGTGAGGGATCTGAGGCGATTCATATTCTCATGAGTCGACAACAACGGGTTGTCAGTTATTTTCTTGGACTGTTTTAAAAAACTGTTCTTTCTTCGTCGGTTTGGCGGGGCGGATATTGCTTAGCGTTAGAAGCCAACGAGAGAGTGGATTTAAGACATTCTGCTATTGTTGCAATATTTTGCAGCAGAATAAACTAGTGACAGAGCAGAACTCGCAGCGTTGTTGCTGCAGAACCCCATGTAGAGCCGCTGAGTTTTCCTATGAAGTTATTGCCAGATCGGATTTTCGCAAATGTGTTCTCTAGATGTTTTTTAAACGAGAAGAGAGCGTTCTGTCCAAGGTGAAACTGACCCAATGTCTCCTAGATGCCATTTTCGTTATTTTTTGAGCTATATTACACTTGCTCCATACACATTATAATGGTATGATTAAAGAAACTATAACTTGCGATTACATTTACTCCAGCAGCTGGGGATAAGAGTACTGTCTCAAAACTTAATTTTGGCTAAAGATTAATTTAAAAATAATTTCCCAAAAAATTGAATAAATCTTTATATTTTTTAATTTTCACTTTATCTATGTAAAAAGAAGAAAATAACGTCTTTTTTGTCATATTTATCAAGACACAAATTGCACACGAAGAAGTAAAAGATCTAATTATAATACCGTGTAAGTAATTACTTGATATTAAATGGATTCGATAACCTGTTATGTCGCATAAAGCAGCACGAACGTAGCAGTTTTCGGTCAATTAGCAAAAGTGTGATAACGTCGAGACCATGGAAATTATTTAGCAACAATTCCCCCTGGTACGATTATCATCTATTATATTAACGGCAATTGCAATTACCTTGTCTCTACGAGATCTTGTATGTTAGGAAAAAATTACTCAAGAAGTTAATACATGAATGCAATTTCTTATTGAATTATTTTTTTTTGTTTGAATAATAAAGACGTTGGAAAGTTAAATATTGTTATATAACTTTGTGAATTCCAGATAACATATTAATAAATCAACTTAATTTTGTAAATTTATTTGTTTAATTTATCTTAATTAATAATAACCTTTTTTTGTTAAATTAAATTTTTTTCATTCCCAGGTGTCCTAATGGCATATAATTGCCTATATAAAGGTATGTTTATGAAAATATATTATCTTCATCCATTGTTATTGAAGTGACTAATAATCATTGTTCATAATAAGGCTTAAAAATGGCACTATTTCATTAAACATAATTCTCTATATCACATAAACAAGACGAAAATGAATGAACCAACCTTGGCACATAATCCATTTACATATTTTACAATCAAGATTTAACGTCGGCTGCATATATGTGATTTATATCAAAATGTCCAACAATCTATACTTGTAACTTTATGGGTAAAAGTTAAGAGAACATCAATATTTCAACAAAGCACGCAATTTCATTATAACTCTCTTAAAACTGTATTGAATGATACTCAAAGCTAGTATCAACATCAAAGTTACGATTTTTTGCAGGAAATTTTTATTATATAGAAAACCATAATTGCTAGAAAAAAGATGTGATGCATATTAAAATTTAATATAATAAAACATTAAGTAGGATGCATATAAATTTGGAATGAAATATTAACAATGTAACGTATACAGTAATAATAAGTGAAAATCTCTGAAGCAGATGGTCAATTCTTTAGGACACAATACCAAAATAAAACTATAACATGTTCGTTATGGTTGCTGGACAAAATACCGTTACCTCCAGATGAGAGGTGCGCCAATAAGAACAAATTCAAACCGAAAGAAAACTGGCAAGAGAACCTTGACACAGAATCATTCAATCCACTTATTTATAATCCTATTCGGAGTGAGTAAATTAAAGGATAACGTCAAGATACCCGATTAGTTCTTACCAAGAATAATGCTGTTGTCCTTCTGAAGTATTCGTTTTGGAAGCCCCGTGGAAAAGTAAAAATTCTTAGGAAATTTTCGTACGAACCCTAAAAGAATCACGGACACTGAACAAAACCGGAAACGTTCACATAGCAATTTCCGCGATTGTACCGCACGGTATTTTTCTCGTTATGGTGGGGGACCGAAGGGCGCCCTAACTGAATTGTACGAACGATATCAACAGGTTAAGGCGCAACAACCGAATCGAACGGCGGTGGATAGCGGTGCGCTGCAATTGGCACCGATTATTGCCGGGAACGGACTGAGTCGGAATCGGGAGGCGGCGATCAGAGGGGCAACGAACAGCGGCGGGCATCGGGGGCGTCCGTTCGTTCCTCCGCGATCCTACCGGCAGCAGTTCGGACCGGGACGAGGAGAGACGCACCATGTTGTAAGGGGGATAGAAAAAGTCGATATTAATCGAACAGGTCGTCGGCAGACGGAAAGCATTTACGAGTCGATCTTCGGCCCCTAAACCTGACCTAAACCTATAACGCCGTTATCAATATTATATTCCTCTGGTGGAAAAAAAATTAAAGGTCAACAAAGCGCCACCCAACGGTCGGTGGCACCAATTTTTCACACTTATACCCTTAATGTAGAAGAAAGCTTTAAAATAAATATATAACTTTAAGGAAGTTGATAGATTCAGTATCACTCCAAATCCTGATAAGACAGGATTCAATTAGCAGGACTCATACTAAAAATAACTAGCAAATGTTTAGCATGTAAATCTTTTCTCCAAGTCTGACTTAGTTTTTGCTGTGTTCAGTCTGCACCGTTTTCTACCTCAACTGCTACCTCATAGACCCAGACTATTTTAGAAACTAAACTTTTCTAGAAATATTTGCTAAAGAAGAATCTAAAGGTAAAACTAATAAACAACAATGTTACTTTTATGACATTTTAATCAGCTAAATCTAGTTGACTAAAATATCTTGATACAATACAAATAAAAAGATTTAAAGGAGTGTAAGAATCTTCATTTGCGTTAGCGGATAATTTTGACCTAATTTTAGAGCATTTTCTGGCAAGTTCCCTAAAGCAATGACAAGTATGTGGGCTTAAAGGTTTTCCAATAGTTGCCAAAACAGCGTATAACCATACCCCATGCTCATATTTTATAGTTTCTCCAGGTTCAACCTCATCCAATTTATTTAGAATATACTGCAAAATATCCAGCTTAGTTGACTGTATACAAGTATTTATTTGCTCAAAAGTTGGAATATCCGCATCCACAATTTTCTCAATAACCTCTCTGTTATAATATTTGGTAGGATTTTCAGATGCATGTTTTTCTAAAAATTGTCTTAAGTCAGTGAAAGCTTTTAATTTTTCTTTTTGCCAATGTATTGATGGTATCATTTGTTGGGGGGCTTTTTCACAATTATCTATCTATGTAAATTATAATCGTTTTAATATCTAAACAACATATCAAAGGGGTACTTACAAGATCAACTTTTAGTGTAGGCTCTTTAATTTTATTTGCATCAATATCTGCAGTAACCCATTGTTTGCAACGTTTAGCCTCATACATAACCAAATGAAGATACTCGGTACCTATTTAAAATTAATAATTATTGTAGCTTGTATCGTTAACAGAAAATAGCTTAGGAATAAGAATTACCATTTTCAGGCACCTTTGTAGGATCAAAATTTTTCGGAAGTTCTACATCAACAGCTTTTCGAAGTAAAGTTATCTCTTCATCAGAACTACTTTCTTCCTCAAAAGCTGACATTATTAATGTTATTATTTAAAGCTTTTTTACTTGATATTTGACGCTACATTAAACATAACCTTACAAAACAAATGTTAGGGATTTTTATTTTTTTAAAGTTTAATTTAATGTATTTTTTTATATATATAAAGTATAATTATATGTATAATTAATTAAAAAAATAATTACAATCCATATTAATTATTTTTAATTTTTATTATTAATTAATTAATCCATCTTTTAATTTAAAGTTAAACTATTTGACATAATTCAATTCCAATACTACCAATCGCACAAGTAAGTAAACTGTCAATTTTCTATTAAAATATTTAACTTTCAATTCTTTCGGCAAATCCGATTAAATTACAAATTTTTATCCAAATAAATCGTTACAAAAAAATAAAATACAATGGAGGTTAATGTGAAGATAATAGTAAAGTGGGGTGGAAAAGAATACGATGTAGAGGTCTGCGAAAACGATTCAATATCCGATTTGAAGAATTGCATTCACAAACACACTGGTGTTAGACCTGATAGACAAAAATTGTTGAATTTGAAACACAAGGGGAAGCCTCCCGGAGATGACTGTAGGATATCACACTTAAATTTAAAACCTGGATTTAAATTAATGATGATGGGGTCTTTGGAAGCCGACATAGAAGATGTGAATAAAGCTCCAGAAGGCATGTCCGAAGTTGTTAATGACTTGGATATTGAAGACGAAGAGGTTGCCATTGAGAATCAGGAAGTATACCTGGCTAAAGTTCAGAAAAGAATTAAAGATTATAACATTAACATGATTAATCAACCTAGAAATGGGAAAAAACTGCTTGTTTTAGATATTGATTATACATTATTTGATCATAAATCTTCTGCTGAAACAGGAGCTGAATTAATGAGACCTTATTTACACGAATTTTTAACTGCAGCTTATGATGATTATGACATAGTAATTTGGTCCGCAACTGGAATGAAATGGATCGAGGAGAAAATGAAACTTTTAGGAGTGACATCAAACACAAACTATAAAATTATGTTTTATTTAGACTCACTTGCTATGATATCAGTCCATATTCCAAAATATGGAGTGTTAAATGTAAAACCTTTGGGAGTTATTTGGGGAAAATTTGACCAATACAACAGCAAAAACACCATTATGTTTGATGATGTTAGAAGAAATTTCATTATGAATCCTAAAAACGGACTAAAGATTCGTCCGTTTAGACAGGCCCATTTAAACAGAGATAAAGATAAGGAACTATTGAATTTAACAAGGTATTTAAAGGATCTTGCTGCGCATTGTAATGACTTCACCTGTGTTAACCATAGGCATTGGGAAAAGTATAAACCTAAAAAGAGGAGTGACTGATTATTTAATTTAGTTTTTAATGGAATTTTGTAGCATTTTAAGCTAATAAATTTATTTAAGATATCCTCTTCTCAATCATGATTGTTTAAATTTTGTTACAGAACACTTTAAATTTAAATAAGTTATTAATGTTGAGTGTTTTTTATTTTATTTTGATATAGTGTACTAAACCAGTTATTTTAGGGTAAGTATTTAAGTATAACATCATTAAAATTAAAATTTCAATGAAATATTGCGTTAAGATTTTCATTCTGGTGATATATTCATCCTGATTTTTTGTAACTTGGCAATATAAATCAGTGGAGGCGTCTGTTGAATACACTTCATCAATTTCAAAAAGGAGAGATTTTACCATGCAAAAACTCATGGTTCATGGTTATACCAAAAAGAGAAAATTTTTTCCAATGTTCTCAAAATACTGTTCAAGGATACACTTTCATTGGATTGCTTCCCAACTCCCTAATTCTTTCTGACAAACAGTGGTAATACAAATTGAAATAAAATTGGTCATTTTCAAGAATTTCTTTAGTAGCTATCATATAGAAAAAGTATGAAAAATCTAAAAGCGGCGAGTTTAATCTGATGAATTGTCAATCTATTAATTTAACGTCAATTGGTTTTTCATTTTCATGCTAAATAAAATTAAAAAAAAAATTAAATATGAATAATAATTGTTTTGCAAACTTATCAGATCCTACATATTCTCATAAAACTAATAATGATGATTGATGTGATTGTAAATTCCTTCTTGGTTGAAGAGTGCTTTATTGGTAAACAACGAAAACGTTCTCTCAATAGATAATCTGGGATGCAGCATCTTTACAGATTATTTGTAGGTGGAATGGATATAAGTTGTATCTTCAAAGATATCTATGAATAGAAAATTTCGCGTATCTCCTGGCAACAAACTCGTAGTGACTATTCTCAACATCCTGCAACAACTGTCCTTCCTGTTACCATTTACATTGCCATAATATAAAAGAATTAAGATTTTATATTAAAGTGTCATTTTATGCGTTTTACTGATTTTAGGCAACCTCCCTTACACATTCCAGTAATACCTAAATATGGCTATGAACACATTTTCAAATAATTATTGATAACTACTATTTTTTATTTCAAATCTATTTTATAAGTTCTACTTATAAATAGAAACATGAATAAAACATATTTGTAATCTGATCAATCGGACATGCGCCCGTAAATTGATTGTTTGTTTTTATACGTAACGTGTATTTAGAGTTGCCTAACCTGTTCCAGTTTCAGTTTATGAAATGGCAACAATTGATTCGAATTTGACAGATGTATAATGTGTAAATTACAACAAACCAGTTCGCAATTTTTTTTTCGTTTATTGGCCAGGTGAAGGATGGAAGTCTTTCGTACACCGGATTTTTATATTTTCGTTAAAGGGAACAATAGCCTTTGGTGGGATCGACATACAGGACTTTTTATTCCTAAATCAGGTACCTAACCATAATCCCTCATTTCTAAATCACCACCTAAATCCCCTTTTTATATAACTACAATAAAACTAACTTTCTTTTTAGCATGGGAATTGGCTACATTAGAGGATCCTGTTTGTTTAGGAGTATGTGATGGATTAATTGGGAAAGTGGAGCACCATCCAGTGTTTGATGCTCGGTTGTTACTTATAAAAGATTCTGTGAGTGTGGGTTATTTACATGGAACTGATGAAGTGTTAAAAATCAAATCTATAACATTCCTAAAAATTGGTCCTGAAAATTCTGATGTCAACTTGCAACCGTGTAAAAAACACAACATTGGCCCAACAAAGAAAAGTTCTACTCAGATAGCTCCTTTATTTGATATACCAAAAACTGTTTCTCTTTCAAAGACTATTGGCACATTAAAAAATGCTGGTAATGCGATTAAAAACACAACACAACAAGCTGCTGCTGCTATGTCTGTTTCTTCTACCTTAAAACGAGATATTAAAGATAAAGAACGATTTGAAAAATCAATTTTGGAGGAATTTCAAAAGATTTTTACTGATACAGATTCGTTTTATTATTCTTATACATGTGACATTACCAGTTCTTTACAAAGATTGTGTACTTTAGAGAAAAGTGGGGAATTTAATAAAGAAGCTTTATGGAGAACTGTAAATGATAAATTCTTTTGGAATAAATACATGCTGAATGAATTAATTGAGCTAAATGTAAATTTCCTCAATTTAAAAATTTTTTTTTATAAAATACGACGTTTAATAAAATTTTAGAATCCTTTAGCAGATCCATGGATTCTACCGATAATCCAAGGTTATATTCAAATTGAACATTGCAAAGTAGAAGTTGATAATGATTATAGGGGTGTTAAAACTAGTCCTAAGTATGAAATATTTACTTTGAGTATTATTTCGCGTAGGAGTCGATATAGGGCTGGAACAAGGTAATAATTTTGTTAATTTAAAACATCTATGCCATAATATTTTGTGTAATAAATTAAGGTATAAGAGAAGAGGAGTTGATGAAGATGGAGAATGTGCAAATTATGTAGAAACCGAACAATTGATTCAATATCACCATCATGAAGTCTCTTTTGTTCAAGTTCGTGGGTCAGTTCCGGTTTATTGGTCTCAACCTGGTTATAAATACAGGCCACCACCTAAATTGGATAAGGGTTAAATTTATTTTTGTTTAATTAATCGGAAGTAAATTATTTTATGATTTTTTTTAGATGAATCGGAAACGAAAATAGCTTTCGAAAAACACTTTACTAATGAGATACAGACATATGGTCCAGTTTGTATTATTAATTTAGTTGATCAAAGTGGTAAAGAAAAAATAATTTGGGATGCTTATTCGCATCAAATTTTCCAGTACAATAGTCCCTACCTCACTTATGTTACCTTTGATTTTCACGAATATTGGTAAAATTTTTTTAATAAATCATTAAATTCTCTAATAATTATATTTTATAGTCGTGGAATGCATTTCGAAAATGTTTCAATATTAATTAATAGTATTGCAGATCTTCTAAAAGATATGAATTATTGTTGGAGGGATAGACAAGGTCATATATGTTCACAGGTTGTGTATTTATTATTTAATATAACAATAAAATTAATTTACTTTAACGAATTTTATTTAAGGTTGGAGTTTTTAGAACAAATTGTATTGATTGTTTGGATAGGACAAATGTTGTACAAGTAAATATTTCTTTTTTTTAAATTTATATAAATGAAATTTATTGTTGATTTCAGACGGCTTTAGGTAAAGCAGTTATGGAAATGCAATTTTGTAAATTGGGTTTAATTACGCCTGATGGAAATATTCCTGATACAATTAAAAGTACCTTCCAATTGTTATGGGCTAATAATGGTGATATTATAAGTAAACAATATGCAGGAACTAACGCTTTAAAGGTGTGTAATATTTTTGTAATAAAATAAAGGCTTTGTCAAAGCTGGGATTATATGTGGTGTTAAAAGTAGACCAAACTGCATTTAAAAAAGAAATATCACCCATCCATCATTCATTTTATTAGAAATAGACAAGGTGATTAGAGATGGGTCAACTCAATTTATCAAACCGGGTTAACTTAAGTTGAGGTTATTTCTATGGTTAACTCACGAGTAGGCCCCGCCGCCGTTGCGCGCCGTCTTGCCGATCGAACCGGATTTTATTCGAGTTACAAGTCAGCCTACAGAAATATAGTGGTGGTCATATACTTAGAGACAGCATTTTTTATTCTAAAATGTTGAGTTTTTTTATTAAATTGCTTTATTCGATTTCTTGAACGAAAACAATGATGTTTATTATCTTATAATTCATGTAATTATTGACACAAAAACGAAAATATCTGCCTAGAGGTTTTCAAGTCGGGACTCTGGGCAGACCTATCCAAAACATTAACGTTTTCGGCAGAAAACCATGTTTTAACACTTCTAGCAGTATACTTTGGATCGTTATCCTGCATAAAAATGAATGGAACAGGCATATATTCGTCCGCAAATGGCTTCATTGTATTCGCCATGATGTCTTTGTATAAATGTTGGTCCATTCGTTGACATCCGACGAATAGGACCCACACCAAACCACGAAAATGCAGCCCAAACCATAATATTTCCTCCATCATGCTTTACGGTCTTTAAAGTATAGCGAGGGTCTAATTCCTTGTTTGGGGGGCGTCGTACAAATTTTTTACCATCTGATCCAAACAAGTTGAACTACTTAAGTACTATGGAGCGATGAGTCAAACATCGCTCCATAGTATGTTTTTTCAAAATTCTAATTGTTTTTCGATGTATTCCTTTGCAAACTGAATTCGACGCTTTAAATTCTTATTCGATACATGTGGCTTTTTCCTTGCAATGCATCCACGGAGTCCACTTTCCATTAGTCGACGTCTTATGGTTCGGGTTGATATTTCAATACTTAATTGAGCCGTTATTTCGCCGTGAATTTGCTTAGAACTCAAAAAAGGATTGACTCGGTTTGTTCTTTCTATTCTTCAACGTGTCATTATTGGTGGTGAGTCTTGGGCTGGTGACCAAAATATTCTTGCAAGACTTTCAAAAATACGGTAAACACATTACTGTGGCTCCTCAAGGTCTTTATACACTTGGCTTGTCTTTTCGCTTCGGATCTATAGTAAATAGGGTTATGTGGGGTTTTATTTCTATCAAGGTCGACATCGATGTTTGATAACTGTATTACTAAATTTAATTTTAAATTAATGAACTTGTTTCATCTTGTACAACTATGTAGATATAATCAATTAATGTGTTAATATTTATTATAGGGCGATTACACAAGAACTGGTGAACGCAAATTAGCTGGAATTATGAAGGATGGAATGAATTCAGCAAACAGGTAAGATTTTTAACTCTTAATATTTCATTCCGTAGGATCAGACCATATCCAATATCTTTATATTATTTTATTGAGTGCGATGTTTTATTGTTGTCTTAACATTGTAAGTAATTCTTATAAATATAACTTACAGAAGTAATTTTTTTCAACTTAATATCTTAAAAGTGTTTCAAATGAGTGAGTGAACTGATTAAGTCGTTCACTTAATTGAATTGTTTATTCCTTACAATGTTACTTTTATCATTTCAATTAGACTGCTAAATAGGATATATCCCATAGATACTACAAGTGTCATTTTACGGATTCTCTCCGCCAGTGTTGTCTCGATCTGATTCAGGGTAATGCAGTGACTGAATCAGACATCCTGGACACCTGGTCGCACTTAAACACAATTGGCAACATCGCGAACGAAATATTGCCCGTCGCAAACCCGGCGTACTTACCTCACCTAGCATTAGCGCAGGAGTTTGAGCTCGCGAACGCTTTGTATTACATGTTTAGGTCAGTGGCACAGAAGAGCAACTTAAAGTTTTATCATTTCTAATACACACACTTGTCCCAGGTTTTCCTTCCGTGATAAATTATGTAATTATGGTTCCTATCATCCTGGTTTATTGTCCTCATATTTTTTAACCTTATCTGTTTTTGAACGTATCACAATAAATAAATTTTCAATGGAGTTTTTTTTTGTGTTTGGCTTTTTATTCATGCTAAATAATATGCGAGTCAATGAAACTAACTTTATTTAAAATTTATTAAAACGTTATGTTGGCTAGTATCTAAAGCCGTTTCTTCTAGGTATTATTTGAGCCGTTTTAAAGATTCAACTCGTCAAGGAACGATAGATCTTATGTTAGGTACTTAATAAATTAATGTATATGTGTACATAAATATATGTTAAAATTATTTATAGGAAATCCCGTAACTGAAAACATTTTGGATGAACAACGCCACCAGTTTGAGGAAGATAATTTAGCGACAGCCGAGCGTGTTAAATGGTTAATTGAGGATTGTAAAAAGATGTTCATAAATAATCCGGAATTTGTGCAAGGGACTTGGGGTTTAATAAACGCAGATCCCGTTGTTGGAGATCCCAGCGAATCCGAAATGGACACCATTTTGATTTTAACCAAAGATTCGTATTTGGTCGCCGATTATGATGACCAGGTTGATAAAGTTACCAATTACCAAAGAGTTCCTTTAAGTGATATTACATTGATAGAAAGCGGAATTCCTGATTATATCACTTCTTTGTTTAAAAGTTCTAAGAGCCATTTTTCCATTAGAATAAATTACAAGGTTAATGATGTAATCGGTTATTACCATATGTTTCGATCTACAAATTTGAGGTTTTTCAATAATATGATTGTGCTTGTTAGAAACGAAGAAGAACAAATAGGTTCGTTTTAAAATAAATATTAGGTGTTATAGTTAATTTTATGCTCTCTAGAATCGCTTAAAGCAATTTGTGAGGCGTTTATGGTAGCTTTGGAGGTTGCTGGAATAAATAATGTGCGTTATGTACAACAAAAAAGATTGGATAGAAGGAAATCTAAGGTGTATAACGAAAGCAAAACCATAAGACAAATGTATCTTGATGTTATTGGGCTTCCACGGCTTACCAGAAATGTGTCTGAAACACAACTGGCAACGTTAAAAAATGCAGGTTTGCAATTTAATTGGTTTTGTTTATTATAATTTTTTATGGCTTATTAGGAGAATCACATTATCCAAAACAGTGTAAGACCTGATTTATTATATTGGCGAACCATCGGTAATTTTATATCAAATTTTTTTGTTTGTCCCAAAATATATGTTTTGAAATTAAAAAATAATTAGATCATTCACCACAATTTTTTCACTACAATTTTAGGTTCTAAAGCTTTAACAAACATGTCACACCAATTTTCCAAATTAAATAAGTTTGGCCCTTCGTTCAAAAAACAACCGAAATTTGAAATTGGCCACCCAAAACAAAACGAGACTTCCAGCGAATCAGACGAAGAATACGATGATAACATTTTCCAACCGAAGGAAGTTGTTGGTACGGCGTGTAGTAGCCCATATGATGCATTTCCGGGTTTCCAAAACATCGAACAAGGTGTTGAAATCACCGAAGACTCTCAAATAATAGATGCAAAATTAACAGAGGTCCCAGATTCTCATATTCCCGGGGTTGGAATATTAATGGGTTCTTCAGATGCTCAATCTTCATCATTAGAAAAAAAAGCTAAAGAATTATCTTTCGATAATTCCAAACAACTAATTTCTTCGAATAAAACTCCCGAAATTCATATCTCGGAAGAAACTGAGAAACGCCCGACCAATTTAAAGTTGGATCGAAAGTTGAGTCATTCATCGGGGGAAGTAGAAAACAGTGAGTATGTAGATCAATCTTATCCTGAACCGATTTCGGGATATATGGGAGGCGAGTGTAAGTTTGAAAAGCGCTCCAATTCCGAACAAGATATAACTTTAAATATTTCGCAATCGCAAAGCGAGTCTGCTTTAAAAAATAAACTTACCAATCTAACCAGTCCCGTTGCAAACGTTACCAAAGGACTTGTATCGCCGTTAACTAAGCTGGCGAAGGGAGTACAAAATCTTGGTGCTAATCTCGATCCTCGAAAAATGGGTGTTAAGCATGTTACTGAAAAAGAACTCGAAGAACATCGAATGTTACTAGAAAAATGGAAAAATAGCCGAACTAGATTGATTGCTTTATAATTTATTTTTATTTTAAAAGTATTTAATTTTAGGTGATGTTTATTAATTTCATCAGTCATAACAGTCGCTATACAACTGTTTATTCTATTTATTACGAATTAAAAATTAAAACGAATCTTAGCACAATCTTTTTAAATAAACGAGTAATCAATTAAAAATGTTACAATTTGTTAAATTATTATTGTTAAAATTTAAACGCATAAAATAAGTTGCTGGGTGGTAATAATAAATTAAATTTCTTAATGTTTCGTCACTAAAAACTTATTAATTTAGCAATTATTAATAATTTGCTTTTGAGCAACCTTGTTTATTATTATTTATTAACGTATTAAAATATAAACAGTATAGTCAATAGTTTAGAATGGATGTCTAAAAATATTCTTCTATTTAACAAGTATTTATGAAAATGTAGGTCAGCATAGCATTTGCTAGAAGGCCTAATAGCAATAAAAAAGTAACAGCTGTAATATCCGGGTCCATGTATCAAACCGAAACTACAAAAAAAAAAAAAATAAAACCTTTTCCCGCAACCAATTTAATATTTTACTGTGTGGCTGTACTTAAATTGAATTAAAACCCATATAAGTATTATACATGTAATTCGTTATTTTTCAGGTATTAATTAGAAAAGCTTTAATTAATAAATTTCATCGCTTTTATTATGATAAAATTATGTACTACATTTAAATTATTACAGTTTAATGTCAATTTGAATAAAATAGTAATAACCATGTAAACATTGTTGAAATTTGCAAATACTAAATTTACATGACTATTTCTGTTGATAATAAAACACGTTGGTCAGTAGAGTATTAAATGAATTCAAAAGGTGATAATGTCAATTATACTCTGGGTAGATTTAGTTAGTTTTGATGAAATAGTCGCAAAAAAGCTTTGTATAGCTATTTACCAAAAAATCGTGTTAATAACACAACCGGAAATTTAACTTTTAGTCGTGTTATTTGTACAATGTAACACTTAGAAATTGAAATAAACGCATATTAAAAAAATTATTTTGTTTATTTCCAATCATATAAAGGTAAAGGTACTCAACCTTTTTATCGCTTTAATAAATATAAATTCTTGTAGTTTGGTACTAAAATAACCACCATATTTGTGAAATTTGTACAAAATATATGCAATTCGTAGTTAAACGGCAGTTTCCGTGAAGTATTTTTTTTCTAGAACCCTTCACTTTGATTTTTTCGTAGAGATTTGCACTCCAAAGCAACATCTGCACTTCCCTTATATTTGACTACGCAGTAAAAACATGAAATGATGTTTCGGTTTGGAAATATTCTGGAAATTCGACTTTTCCCGGACGTTGTTGTTGGTTTATACTCTTTCTGGGATATCTCCAGTTATATTTACCCAGCAGTATTGTAAGTGGGATATTAGCCTCTCTGTGGCGTTGCCACAAGCTCATTTGGTTGTTAAGGTTAGGTGGCAAGCGATTTTTACAGAAATATATAGTTTTGAGCATGTAGTTAGGTTCAGACAAATGCGATGAATTCTTTTGCTATTGTGGAAGCTTCTATGTTGTAAGTTTGAAATCTGTGCACGTAGTTATTATCTTTTTTTCCAATGGCGCTTCAGCTTAAATTGAGTCTTGGCCTGCTTTATCTTTTGTCTTTAACACAACCGATCAAGAGCTACCTTCTTTCAGGTTCTGACGTTATGAGTCGTTGTGCAGCCTCTTTCACTTCGTCCTGTCATCATTTTTGTTGCCTCCCTCGTGGTCTTCCTGCATTCTGCTGCTTAAGAGCCTTTTCGCATTTTATCCTTGCTTATTTTGTTCACATGACCAGCCCATTGTAGTTCTTGCAAAATGGTGAATTCTGAGACAGGGCCTTTCTTGAACAGATGGTTAAGTTCCACGTTGTATTGCCATCGCCGTGTCTCATTCTTCTTTACAGGACCAAAGATTTTCCTCAGTATTTTTCTTTCAAACATCTTTCAACCAATTTGCACCTGATTGGTTTCTTGGCGAATGTCATGGCTTTTGTCTTATTTATAGATATTGTTACATAAAGCTATCGGGAAAGGTAGAACTTACAAAGTTATCTCTGCGGGTTATCCCCAGTGTCCATCTCTGATTCTTTTGCTGCTCATTCTGGTTGCCAGATTGTTAAGGAACGAAATTCTTTAGGATTTGTAGAATCTTAGAATTCTGCCGTACCACCTTATAATACTTCAACTTTATCACATCCAACTTATAACATCAGAAAATATTTTTGATATTATTATTATATTATATTCAAATTTATATTTCAATGATAAAAAACTTTGTGATGTCTTATTTTTAGAGTATTAATTTCAATAACGTTTTATTGAAGTATTTGCAGGCGCTGCATATCGATTTTACAATTCCCTCTCTATGCGTTACAGGGCATTAGGAGCGTTATGAAATTTCAGTGATTCCGTTGAGGGGGAGAAACGACTGGCATTTCGCGCCAATTCCTACTCTCATTTCGTTCCACATTCCCTTTTTATGACAAAAATAAGTATTTTGAAAGAGGTGAAGAAAGTGAAAAACCTGGCGCGAAAAAATTTCGCCGAAAAGACTTTTTTAATATTCCTAACGCAAAGTTTTAATTATGTAAATGTTATGCCAAAGAAAAATGTTTAATAAACGAGCTGGCGTGGGACGAAACAGGGATCGCTATAGAAGATTAAGTAATTATACCGTAATCAAAGTAATTTAAGTCATTAACAGCTCGACCGCTGCCACCCTTCACAACAACGTGTTAACACATTACAAAATCGTAATTTTGTCTGCAGTATAAAATCAATTTTAAATTTTAAGTTCGATCACTAATTTACATTCCAAATAGAAGAATCCAGAAGAATTATTCTCTTTGGAGACAGACAGAATTTTATCGGCTCATGAATATGGATAACGTTCATTAAGTCTTTTGATTTATAAAGAAATTGCATTGTTAATTTCTACGTTTAATTAAACTTCTTTTAAAATTTTATTAATTATAAAAAATAAATCCTCTTTGGCCGCATTATCTTTATAAAATTAGACACAATGATTAGAATTCTTTCATCAGCCGAAAAAGTAAAGTTAATGCTTTCTTTAATTAGGTCAAAAAATAGTTGAAAAGATTGTTTTTTAGCCAGTTCATTGCAAAACGTAGCAAAGCGACTTATCTGGGTTAAAATAAATTGTGTAGTAATAGAACACGGCGCCCCCTCGACAATTAAAAATGTGCTCTTGAAAAATTTAAAACGCCGAAACGGAAATGGGAAAATCGAGTAAACCTACTTTCACGGCGGAACTTGCCACTTTAGGAATTTAAAAATATCCGCTTGTTAATTAAAAAGTCTTGGAAACCAGTTTCGTGTTTATTTCCTCTGGCAACGAAATATTTACAAACCCCTGATACCATTTCCCATTTAATGTCACAAACATTTTTTTTTGAAAGTTTCAATCAATACTGAGTTACAATTCTGTTCTTTAAAAAATGAGTTTTGCGTGTTGGGAGACATCAAAACACAAATCTGACACATAAAGAGAAACAGCGTCTCGTTAGACAAGTGTGTAATACCAAGCTGTAAGTAAGTAGCGAATCTCCTTCGGCAGTCAACCAGAAAATCGATACATATCCCATACATAAAATATGAAGAATCATAAATTTCGATCGTATCGATGTCATTTCACTCGAACATTCTCAACCGTTTCCGGAACGATTGACCTTTTCGTGAGAAATTGCCAGAAATGAGGTGATAAATCCAAATGACTTCCTTTGGTGATATTTTATGAAATCGCCGAATCCCAATAACATTTTTAATAGTAAGTTATTAAAAAATATTGTTCAATTTGTAAAGATGGCACCAAAAAAATTAAGAACATCTATTATTTCATAAAACTAAAGAGCAGCTGTAAATGAAATTTACGCCAGGTGCGTCCCGTGGTTAGAACGCGTTTCATAAAATTCATAAAACGTCTAGGCCAAGAAGATATAAACCGAATTTATGGCGAACTTAAAGCGGACAGCGTAACAAAAATGCAATTTCAACGTGTAACAACTTGAAAGTCATGATCTCAGTTATGCCTTTGAGGTGCTCGGCTTTTGGCTAAGACCTAAACCCGTTCTGTTCAAAGTTTTGCACGAATTGTGTTACCTACACCACGGTAGGAGTAAACAATCCAAACTAATACGAGTACGCTTCGTGTTCAGTGGTTTGACCGCGAACACTGTACTCAAGGTTTAACCCTTTAAGACGTCGACCTTGTCAGTTAAATTAAATATGGATATTCAAACCCTCAGCGGTTTAATTCTGGCAGAAAATTTGACTAAAAAAATTGACAAAATTCCTTATTAAAATTTGTTCCAATATTATAAATTAATGCTACAATTTTCGATAGAATTTTATTTAAACAAAAACAATTTATTTTCAGTATAATCTATTTATTTATTTACAAATTTTATCTACAATAAATTACTAATTACAAATTTGATTGCCTTACACGATATATTTCTCATTAATATACAAATAATTATGTTTATCATGATGCGTTTTTATTGCTAAAATTACCTAATTTGAAACTATATACTGAGCATGGATCATTAATCATAGGTAATTTATCGTTAAATTTTCGAAAGTTACTCATGTTAACATCAAGAGTGTTGAAAGGATGGTGTGTCTCGTTTATTTTGACGTAACTCGCTACATCAAGTTTGTTATCACGATGAAAGAAGATTACTTAATGAAAAGCAAAGTTTCCGTATTCCTCGTATATTGTCTACGTGCTGCATTTTAATATATGCACCTTGAGATAGTGTGGCTAAATAGATTATAAGGGGTTTAACTTATAGGTCTTCACCAAGTTTGCTTAATCAGATATGTTTAGGACAACGTGCACTTGCAGTAACAATTTGCAATTTTGCCACAATTAACATATAAATATATAACATCTATTATTTTAACGTTTTAATATTAATACAATAGTAATACTGATTTATTAAGAATTTATATACCTATTTACATTATTGATTGCACAAATATGATTAATTAAGTTCAATAATAGGTGTATAAAAAATTGATTGGATTTATTGCAACATTCAGGTTTAAAAATTCATGATTTTTTTTTTAAAACATTACAATTGCTTTTACGCCATAAATTCTTTTTTTTTAAATCGTTCGTTTCGTTAGCATTGCAAAATATTGATGTTTTTTGTGTCTCGCTTGCATTCAAACGCTCTCCCAGAATAACCCGATATTTTATATATTTGCTCGAAAACCTTTCAATATAAAATAGAATTTAACATAAATATTTCAACCTCATATATTCGTTTTACTTCCTCGTTTAGTACTATTGTATTCACATTACATCTTCACTTTGTAGATTATCGAGTTCAAACTCGCTCGCGTTATAGCTAAACTTTTGGCTGGTACAGGAACTTCCGATGGTGCTATTTAAAGTGACTTTAGGTCCATGCGGGTAGCTTTTGTGACTACTCAGGTGGATATCAGTGAAAGGATTGCCAAGGTTCATTGGTGCGCTTCTAGAACCACATTTCAAACATGTAAGACGCGACGAGAGCCTACAACAACTTTGCAGTGTTTTCTTGAAAGCCGCTCTGAATTCGCTATTGAAGTATGCGTATATGAGCGGGTTTAGAGCTGAGTTAAAGTATCCTATCCAAAATACGAGAGTAATAACTCCCGGTGGGCTGTAGCAGTGTTCGGTGCCGCATAAAGATGTTATCACGTACCTGTCAGATAAAACAGAGACGTTGGTTTAGGGGGAGACGATTACGAGGTCGCGTTTTGATGGTAACGATCGTTTCGGTTTTATTGTATAGTGGGAAAAAAGAGAATCTTAAGTTTAACCATTAAATGACTTTCTTTTATTCGGGGAAGGAGAATTTGGGATTTAATAAAATAAAAAGTTCTACTTATCGTATGACTTCCTTAAAACACGCATACAATACCCACCACAAGAAGAACGGTAACCAACAAGCAAGAAATGCTGAAACGATTATTCCCAAAGTTCTTGCAGCTTTTCTTTCTCTTTTCATTTTGCTACTATTACTGTGATCTGCGACTCTTTCCTCCATCACCTCGGCGTCGGATTGTTGTGATGAGGGAAGTGTGTTGAGTCCTGATGAAATTCCGTTTATTTGAAGGTGTTTGTTCAATAGAGCAGCAGCAACTTTACCTCTGAAAATAATCGAAACATATTAATCCAATAAATTAATTCCTATTTATCATGGAAACACAAATGAAGCTATTAATTTGCTATCAGCAGTTTCAAATCATCATTAGATAATAACAGTGGATTTTCGTTGTGAAGCATCTCTATTAATTACGAATATGTAATTGGAAAGTGATAATTAAAATATTATACATTTATATCAATTAATTTTCTATATAATTTTCAATTGAAGTTAAAGTCCCTTTTTGGTTCATTGCCCTTAAGTTTATAAAATAAATGAAATGGGTTTATTTTTAGAGAGGGGATGACTATATACAGGGTAACTTTGGGTAGTTTAGAAGAGTAACGATGTCAATATGTGCCAGGTGGATGTAAACTACCGTTGACACCGGAGATAAACGGATCTCATATATATTAAACGATGCGGGATGGTGGTGCTCCATCTTATTTCACCTATTTTATTTTAGACAAATTTATAAATGAATATAATTATCAAAAATCATAACAAATCTAATTTGCAGATATTAAATTCCGACCGTGTTGTTTGGCAATAATGCTTAGTGAAGTTCAACTAATAAATTACTCCCACAAATTAAGGACTTTCTCGTTTCCGTACACCCACATAAATCTTTACGGATCGCGGCATCTGATTCCGTGCGGCACATGCCTCAGATATATTAAGTGGCTTTTCAAGATAACAAATGGCGCATTTATACCTGGAATGAAACTAGTTATCTGGTGATGAAATCATAGATTTATTTCGTATTTGTTTGAGCCAAAATACTTTTTTTTCCATCAAAAGAGGCTCTTAATCACATTTTTGGCAACATATTACGAACTCGCATAACACAAAAGAAAAATTATTGTTTTATAAGTGAAATCATGGTAATCCTTTTATGACAATGCTATTTTTATCATTTTCCGTCCGGTTGATGGCCATGATTCCTTTGTTAATTAATCATATACCGTGAACCGTGTTGATTAGCTAACTTGAGTTTTAAATAGTTAATAATATCGATGCGTAATATAACGTTACCCCTTTAAAAGGATTTTATGGTCTATCACAAGTTTTTTTAAGTATTTAACATTTTAAGTATTTAAAATCTCATATATGTAACTAAATTTGTCTTTTTATCAAAAGAAGTAGATGACGAATTTTTGTTGATACAACCAGGTATAAAATTAAATAATGTTTTCAGACTTGATCGGATCGGCTTGGTATTGCTTGTTAATAGTTTTATATAATTGCTCCCCCGGGCTATATCGTTCCATGGAATTATAAGAAGAAAGAAATGTTCTTATACACTTTAGAAAATTCATTCACAAAATAATTTTATTTCTTAAACAAATTGTTAGAGAAAACATTTCTTGAAAACACTTCAATTAACTTGTTCGCATTCTCCACTAGTTTTACTCTCAGCTTTATTTCAGCATTGTTGTTTCTTTCCTATTTGTTTTTCCTGTCCTCTCTTGGATTTTAGGGAAAAATAATGATTTTGCTAAACTTTAGGAATGACATTCTAGTAACCTATTCAATATTTTAAAGTTTAAAACCCGAATACAGTATGAAACCATTTGCATAAAACTAAAAAATAATATTCTGCGACATCTTTCTGACAATATTCCATTAACTTTTGCAATAACCCTATAAATAAATTGATGATTATGATATGGTAGTACTTCGTCCGAGAGCGACCTCGGTTTGGTTCCTTAAATTCTTTGTTTTTCCTGATTAAGCCGAATGTACTTGCGGCCGAGACACTGCTATATGTTATTCCAATTTGGGTTGAGATGATATTAATTGTAGTGTCTCAGCTGAAAGCGACCTCCGCTTGGTTCTTTGAATCCAATCTTTCTCCTAATTAAGCTGAGAGGTCTTGTGGCCGAGATGCTACTGTATTTTGTGCGGATTTAGGTTGATACGATATTAATTGTAGAGCCTCGACCGTAAGCGACCCCAGCTTGGTTCTTTGAGGCCGCTTTTATGTGTTGTTGGGATTTTGATTGATATGATATTATTTATAATGCGTCGGCCGCAAGCGACCTCGACTTAGTTACTTGAATACAATCTTTCTCCTGATTAAGCAGACAGTGCTTGCGACCGAGGCGTTACTATATTTTGTGCGAATTTGGGTTGATATGATATTAATTGTAGTGTATCATACATTCGCGAGGCATGTTTATGACCAAATTAATTTTCTTGATTTGCAAAAGTCTATTAACAATTTGTGTAATTATTTAACCACAGCTTTTCCAACATGCTAACATTAGCTCGCGTGATTCCGGCTTTAGTTTACATTCAATGATATTTTAATCCACCGTTAAAATTGAACTGGAATTGCGCCTCAACTATTGATTTAGCCAATCCAGTTATTGAATTGGATTTCTCACTGAACTGACCACTCTAATGAAATCAAAATATTGTTTAGGTTATTGAATATTGTAGACGATAACATTCAATCTAATTCAGCTTTAATATTTTTATTCAATATATTATCCTATCTTCGAAAATTAATTAATTATTTTTTTAAATATATAATTTTGTGTAAATGATAATAATTTACAAACCTGTACAGCAATCTCTCTTGCCTATCAGCTTCCATGTATATCCTATAGTACATAATAACCATAACCAATCCTGGTACCCAGAAACTAACACTGGATGATACAACGGAATACGTTTTATTAACAGTAAACGAGCACAATTCTGGATTCCTCTTCCTAAATTCTAAATTTTCATCCGTTGTGTACCATTCCATAAAAATCGGAAGAAATGATACCAATGCTGGACTACACCATACAACGCCCAACATTATTCCTAACCGGGTATTCGTCATTATCAAAGGATAATCTAACGGTTGCACTATAGCATAGTATCTATCAACACTAATGCAACATAAATGCAAAATAGACGCGGTTGAAAAATAAACGTCTAAAGAGTTCCAAAAATCGCACATAAAATAACCGAATAACCACACTCCACCGGTTACCTCAACACTAAAATTGAAACACATCGCCCATATTGCAACCAGCATATCTGCAAGGGCTAAGCTGACTACAAAATAATTGGTAATAACGCGTAATTTTCTATGCCTCATAACTGAAACAATTACCAGTAAATTACCGAATAACGCGGCCACTATTATGAGCACCATAATGGTTCCTTTTATCACCGTTAAAAACAACGTCATTGAATTGTTTACATCCATAGCGAATTTAGTTGAGTAATTATGAATGGAATCATTTTCGTATGTAAACTCACTCACGTTTACGGTAACGTTAAATTCTGAAGTGAAGTTATCTTCTATTGGTATTCGATTCATGTTGGTTGAGCGTATTGATAACGTATGAAATATGATGTTATTCTGAAATCGAAAGAATGAAAAATTATTTTTGATAAAGAAAATAAAGTTACTTTAATAAGACCCTACTGAACTAAAATGTACATCCATTTAGTATACTAAATGGACCAGGAAGGGATTTCAGATAATAATCATTTAATCCTCTTAGTTTGTAGTCTGTCAGGTTTGTGTTTATCCCTTGTTAAATTACTTAATACAACTAAAAAAAATGTTACTAAAAAGTAATTTTTTCACCAAAAATGTTATCTCAAATCGAAAATTACTTATTATTATTATTATGTACTTATTATGCTTTGTACTTCGAAAAAATTTTGAGTATTAGAAGTCTCTTATTAACAATTTCAATAAAAATTGAAAACTTTTTAAAAATTAAAACTAATTTTTACTTACTTTTTACATGCTCACATCGATTTGAGGCTTTCTATTTCCGGAACACATTATTAATTTATAACCAAAAATCGATACCACGTGTCAATGAATTCTAATTATTTGTCAGTACGTGCTTTTCAAAATTTACGAAAACTGTGTGTTTGACGATTAAGTGGCGTTTTGAGCGAGCGCGCGATATATACTGCTACGCTCCAGGCAACGGCGTCCTTTCTGGGCGTCGCGACGTCTAAGCTTGCGTACGCATGACACTGTTCACCATTATTTCCTACCTGTAGCTGCTTAATAACCATACTAACTTCAACCAGTTACCGACGTGGATATGTGCTTGTTCCTATACGACTATTAGGTTTAAATTCGACCTGATTGTAAAATCAATAATACCACTGAAATATCAGGAATTTATTTTAATAAAGTAGGCTTTCATGACATAGTTTCCGAACCAACCCGAATTACTCCCTAACGTTTCATTCATTTATAGATATAAGTTTTGTCAGGATAAAGGTCTAATTTTTGAATTTTCTAATTAAGTTAATTCAAAGTTTAATTAATTAAGTTTCTAATACAAACGGCTTTTCTTAATTTTCCGTTCATTTGGATTACTACAAACTTATGAACCTTCTTTCTATGATTTGCAAATCACAACGTACTGCTTCCAGAAGACTAGATACTGCGGACAATGCTAATAGAATACTAGATATGGCTTTAAGAAGATTAAATTTTGTTTGCAGAAGACTACATACTTCTAGAAGAAAACTAAATGTTGCTAACGGAGCAGACACTTTAATAGAAACTTATTACTTATAGATTCCGCCTGCCAAAGTCTGCACGCTGCTGGAAAAAGACCAAATACAGCAAAAAAGACAAGATAGTGTAAATAGAAAACTAGATATTGCTCATGAAAGACTAAACCGCTTGACTGCTTACTAAAAACCAGATATTGCTGGCAGTAGACTAAAAATTTTTAATTGAAAATTAGATACTTCTCGCAGAAAACTTGATACTGCTTGCTGAATATTACATACTGCTGGCAGAAGTCCAGATATTGCTAATGGCTGACTATACATTGTATAGAAAACAACATATGATTTGCAGAAGATTTTTCTCCTGTCCTCAGCTATCTCAAACTATCTGCTTTCCGTAATTCTTTTTATGTCGTCTATTCATCTTCTTGAACAGGGTTGGGTTAGGTTGCGCTTTGCTATTCTTGGCCGTACTAATAAAAGTATAACAGGAAAAAAGATTTTATTATATTAATATTTTTAATATATTAATAAAATATCTTTTTCACGTAAGATATATTTCTTTCACAACTATAATAGAAACTATAATGGAGTGCAATAAAACTTTATGTGGTAGTACGATGAATAGAGTGACGAGGTTTAGTTGAAAACGTTTGTGTTCAAGACGGATTGAAGACATATCGAATAGAAAATCTTTCTTTTTCATGCAAGATATTTCCAATTTCACCGTTCTACCTACACATTTTCCAAATCCCCTCGATCGTTCTACGACTTAAAAGTTCTTACGAAGCTCTTTATGTAAATTTCCAGTTTCTTAAGCGCTTTGAAATATGTTTTCGTCTTGGATTTCGTTGTTTTAATCTCTGTGAGTTGCTTTCAAATTCGCATTATGTAGATTAGATTACATTTAACATTAATTTCGTATTAATGTTCTATAATTTAAGAAAAATTAATATTATTTATGATTAATATTTTTCTGACGACCTTGACGAATTTACTTAAAATATAATTACGACGATAAAATTCATCTTTGCGCAAAGTTCGACTTTAATACGTTTTGTAGATTAGTAGCAGTACTCTGGAAGCTTACCCAACAGGGATAGATCAAATATACGATCTGGAGGGATTTGCATAAACTTGTCCAGCACAGCGGTTTCTTAATTGTAAGGGGTTACCGAGACACAGTTTGCATAAATAGTCTAGAGTCGTTGTAGATGGAATCGATCCGCAGAAATTGACCCAAGTGCATTTGAGCTTCATCTCCTCCGGATCCTAATTAATGTCGATAAAGTGTAAGGACGTGAACGGAATTTACTTACCGTTCGATCAAATTGCCCGCTTGAAATATCGGGGCACGTGTCTTTTCTCGTAGATTTCTGAAATAGAGTAATAAATTTTAAATGTACACAATATTATGAGAATTATCTATTGGATTTATTGATAAACTTGTTTCCGGTTACATGGGAATTGGAATTTATAGGATTTATGGGACGCAAATTGCATTAACGGGTTAATTATGTCTGTTTTAAACATAAATAATTATTATTTATACTTAGTTGTGAAACCAATAATTAATTTACATTCGCTAGATTTATTAAACCGATAAATAAAATTAATGCAAATGTAAAAAGGAGTTGAGACTTAGCTTTTACGAAAACATAAATAGATATTTGAGTAATAGCTTCGATGGTGGAATTTACTTTCCGGAAATTTGTTGGCATAATCTGATTTTCCTGTAAAGTGCGGATGTTTAACGTTGTAGATGTTAATAGCTGTTGGGAAGGGTAGGTAAAATACCGAATTAATTGCATTTTGAAACTAGGTCTGGAAACTACCTGGGAAAGTAACCACAAAAACCAAAAGCTTGTAATTCACTTTTCAGTGTAACTAGAATGTTAAAAGATTTAATATAAATTTGCAAATACTTTTCAGAAAGATATTAAAACAAGTGTATTTCAAAAACTAATTGAGATATCGTTATGAAATAAAAAGCAAATTAAAGCTAATTTATTTAGTATTTAATGTTATGAAGCTCATAAAAATTCTCAAATTTCGGAGTTATAATTTTTTTAACTCAACCTTGCATAATCTTAAATATAAATGTTAGTGTAATTAATTTTTACGTATCTCGGAAACTAATTGAGATACCGTTATGAAATAAAAAGCAATTTAAAGCAAATCTACTTAGTATTTAATATTTTCAGGGTGATTTTTTCAAATCTTCAAATTTTTATGAATTTTTGAATTTAACTTTGCATAACCATAAACAATGTTAAAGGTTATTAATCTTTAGATATCTCGAAAATTAATTGAGATAGAAACATTTATATGTAAAGCAATGAATAATCAATACTTCAAAGGTAGTATATCTTTGTAAATGAACCAGCAATAAATCCCAAACAATCTTCAAGTGATATACTGCACCTTGCCAAATGAGGAGTTGTAAGATCTAGTATTAAGGTAAGACATAAATCGTCTTCTCTAATAACCCGATAGTTTCTCTTATTCGTAATATTGTTTGTTGGGAAATTTTCTATCAATCGATTTATGGGATTAAAAGTTTTGTCTTATTTTTTGTTCGATGGTTGTGGGGACATTCACCCAAACGTTGCGTTATTTTCTGCGAGGATAATCGATCTGGATTGTGAGATCTCTCTTGTGCAAACAAGGGGAAATTTCCAATCCCAAGTACGGCAGAGTTTTGGTTTAAATTGCCCATGGCGAGGACTGTGAAGTGTCAACAAAATCCTTTGCAAAAACACTGAGTAATGTTTTGCCTCATTCGTTTGTCTCGCGCGTCTCTAAAGCTTTCTATTATCGTATATTTAATGAATTTATCAAGTTGTAATTAGAAGTTGAGTTAAATCGTTGCCAATTATTTAAATTTATTTATTTATAATTAGTAATAAAATAAACCAACATAATTGAAAAATTTGTAGGAAAATTGTAATAAAAGTTACGATGGTATTCAGTGTGAACCGTTAAACATAATTGGATATAAACCGTGAAATATCTTACTTTTTCATATTTTAAAGTGGCTATTTAAATCCTATTAAATTTTCATATAAATGTAAAAGGATCCCCGGAGAAAGATCATATAGGTAATAAGTGAAACAATAAAATTTACATATCCCAATTTTGTTTCTTTTATCACTTAATGATAATATTAGAAATATCTTAAAGTAGTTAAAAACTTTATAGAGCGGTGTTATAATCAAATTGAATTTTAGCCATGGCAAATTGTTTTAAGAGTGCCTCCAGGTATGTGCTCAAGAGATGTGCCGCTTGAATTCCCAGAATTGATATTGATTTTCAGCTATTTCCTTTCTAGAAGACCAGGTAACTTCGTTATATCAGGATTGGAAAAATAATAGAAAGTTTTCAGCTGTGGAAAGGGAGCCGTTGTTCTTCTGACACTGTTTATTTTGGATATCCTTCATTGATTTAATAAATACGTTGTAAATTATTAAATTTTTAGTATTATTATTATGTAGTAATAGATTTCGGATAGGTTAATTGAGGTAAAGCTACCTCTAATTCGTGGTTCATATGTAGGTATAATTGTGTTATGTTCGTATTACGTATCGCACGTGGTTTTGGGAGCAGATAAATTGAGATCAGGTCGATTCTGGAATTCAATTAGTTTAATGGAGGGCCAAGCAAGGTAAGGTAGAGCTAGGGTCTTAGTAAAATATTATTGTGGGAACCTACAGGGGTATTACAGGTAAGCTGCAATTTATCGTCGTAATAATCGGAACTCCGGGAAAGTTTTAACCAGTTTAAAGTCTCCGAAACCATATCCCCTTAATTTATCTTCTCAACTAGAATAGAACGACGCTAAGAGATTTTAATTTTGTGTTTGCGAACCCCCGAAGATTTGATGGAAACCCTGAATAGTTTCTCATCATCAAACCTCCTCACCCAATTTTTCTTTTGTTGAAATATCAAAAAAACGAATACTCTTTATTAAGCAAGTAATATTTATTTTTTGAAAGAAAATGAAATTGTCCCTTTTTCTAGTTTTATGTATGAATATTATAGATGTTTACGGAGCCGTCGATGTGTGTTTACTGAAATCATGAAAAATATTTACACACAAAATTTACACCGTTTGAACCCAGTACGGGGACGGTCGTAAATTGATTTACGATGCCGTTCTACCGATGCCCTTCAATATGTTTCCGTACAAAGCGGTAGCGTGATGAATGTTCAATATTTTCAGAGGGACCTTAAAAAACGGGAACCAATTAACAGGGAGGATATAGCAGAAAAATCAATTTCAATATACATATTTATTACGATTTTTTGTTAGTTTAATAAATATTTATTTTATGTTAACTAAATAGTCATTTTGTTTATCAACACTTTTAACATAAATATAAACCAAAAATTTTATTAAAACAATAGTATATTAAAAAATTTGTTAATAGTGTCATAGTAGTAGCAAATTTAATTTTAAACAATCTTGCTCTTTTTCAGTTTTGCTCTGAGACGCATAAATATCGAGAAAAATACGAAAATTAATTGAGATTTTTTAAATTGGCTGAAGAAAAGTATCGTGTCCAATTTATCTAAAAATCAATACTAAGTCACTTTTCGTATTGTAAAAGTAAACCAAAAAATACCAAGTCTAATTTATGCTTTGATATATCAAAATTTGTAATTTCCGCAGAAAAACTCCTCTTCCATCTCCTCTCATATCGATCAAACTGCGCCCCACTTTTGTAGTTTCAGTAAACTTGAAAAGTAAATCTAGGATTTTATGTGATTGAACTTTTTAATTTAACACGATATTGTAATAATTTTTTTTTAAGTTTACGCTAGGCATTGTGAGTAAAGTACCCAACATTTATATGTTGGGTATGTATTTTTTTTAGTATAATCGGCAGCCAAAAAGTTTGCCTGAACTTCGGTACTCAAGGTAATGGTTTTTGTTTCAGATTGCCGGGCGCTAAGATTTTAACTTAAGCGTCATAATTTACAAAGTTTTTTCGATTATGTGTAGCGGTCAGAATATTAATGAATTATTAGCTTTAAGAAGAAAATGTGAAAAAATACAATTACAAAAAATGCTGATTCAAGAAGAAACATGAAATAAACTTGCATATTGATTTGTCTTGCAGTGAAACGTAAAACATACATGAGTTGGGAATACAGCAGCTGGTTAAAAATAAGGAGGTCACGAGGTGACGCTCCGAAAGAAACTAAATATTTACATCAACTTTTTTCTGTAACAAAGATTTTATTTCATTGACGATCAAATAATATTTAATTAAATATATTCTTGATATTTCTTTTTTGAATTATTAATTGATAAAGTTAGAATCTTGTAAACAATGTTTGAAAATTACTTAAACTTTATATTATTGAAGGAAGAAGTTTCGCAATGTCTCAATTCCCTTCAAGTGGATAATCATTCGTTTTAACGGGATTTGTAACATGCGGCCTCGAAAGTTTAAATTGTCGATAAGAGTAGAAATCTCTACGGTATCGTATCGTGTTTAAAATTTCCCTTATGTCTTTTATAACTCAAAACATTATTCTTAGAGGAGATAAAATTAATCAAGTAATTGTTCGTTTTAAAATTAGATTCATGGAGGTGAATTTTGTAACATAGGGTTTTATCAAGCAATTTATTTTTGTTTTACGTCAATGCAGCTTTTAACCAGCCTTTGATAACCAATTCACTGTAAACCATGTACAGCGCTTCAACAGCGGTTTGTGTGCATTTTGTGCAGCACAATCTTCGTTATGTCTCGATTACTTGGTTTCATATAGCTAAGTTCATTTTATTCGTGAGATGATTAATGAATATTTTATGAAAATCCGTATTTACTTTCTTGGAAATGTCTCGCGTAAATAGTCGCACACGTGGAGAATAAAGTGGATTGCGCTGAGAGCTATATATAACGTGACAGCATCTCCGAGTCAAAAGATCAGTAGATCGTCGTGTGTGTGACTGACGTTGTAGGTAGGATTTGATGGTATTGATTTTTCCAACAAGGTCTTCTTGTTTCAACCGTTATATTTCAAGTTTAGTTTGGATTTGTACAAAAGATGTTTACTATAGAATAGGAAGGTGAAAGGTAATAATGTAAATCCTTGTGGTGAGTGGAGGTATTAAATTTATGGGCGAAACCAACTATACTGACTTGATTAACTGAATTGTCCATTAATCTACTCTAACGTTGACACAGTTTCACCAAAATTACCTGTAACAATTTAGTGTTTACCTTTGTGAAATGAAAGCTCCCCTTTAATTGAATTTATTATGCAAATTTCGATAGGGGGATAATTTTTAAATTAAGACGATGTTTTTAATAACAAAATTAATTAATTGGTGAGCAACACCTTAGTTTAATTCGATATTTATTAGAATCAGTCCAAATGTCTGTAAGCGAGAATGACATGCAAAATCGTCTTACCCTCGTCAAGCATTACCACAAACGATATTAAATTATCATTTAAATAGCTGCGACACGTTGTATAACTGAGTATCTAAGCATCATTCAAATTGACGTGAAATTATAATTTAATAGGAAAATAAACCCGGCGCCTCCACCAAAATTGTTAGAATTAAAAATGCAAGATATTTTTCAAACTATAATTATATTTATATATTTTATTGTTGGACTAGATTACAATACTTGACTGGATCTATATCACAGAAAGACATTTACATATACAATACATATACGTAAAAACAATAAAGGTCGATATGTATACAAAGGTTCTTCCGGACTTAAATTGATTCTCATCGGCTTAATACTGCCTTTTGGACCACATTTCTTCCACACTAACGTCACTAACCAATATGATTCTTTTATTTGAGCTTTTAGATTACCGCCTCGCTTTGCAACGTGATAACCTCGCCTTCCGATATGTTATAGCTGAGCCTTTGATGATGGATGATATCCGGATGTGATCCGGGAAAATTAAGATTGGTTTTCCGGTGTTCCAACGGTTTCACGTGATGATTATTTAGGTGTATTTCACTGGAAGCGTTGCTATAATTTCCCCGATCACCTCTTGACCTACATCTTAAACCACACATAAGTCTCGGCGAAAGACGACAGCAGTTTTGTAACGTCTTCTTAAATGCAACCCTGAATTCTCTGTTGAAGTACGCGTATATAACGGGATTTAGAGCTGAGTTGAAGTACCCAATCCAGAAAACTAGCGTGACGACCCCTGGAGGGCTGTAGCAGTATTCCGGACCACACAGTGATGTTATCACGTACCTAAGAGAAATTAATCGTCATAAACATATAAACAGTTTAAAAAAGAATTATTATTTCAAAATTGTTTATTTTGCTCCCGAAATTTATTATTTACATATTGATTATTAAAAACAATACATTCGTTTTGCATTATTTCCAGTTAACTAAATTTAATTTTCATTTTAATAATAAAAACTAATTGATATTCAAAAAGATCGATACTTGAATTTGTTGATAAAAGTCGACCACAAAATAAGTTATTCTTACCACAAGAAGAAAGGTAACCAGCATGCAAGGAAAGCCGATACGATAATCCCCAAAGTCCTAGCAGCTTTCCGTTCCCGTTTCATCTTGTTACTTGCACCGGGATCGACCGATTTTTCCTCCACCAAATTCATGTCTACAGTTTGTGGAAGGGTGGTAAGGCCGGCAGAGATTCCATTGATTTGGAGATGTTTGTTTAAAAGAGCCGCAGCCACTTTACTCCTGAAAACGAACAGTTTTAAAATTACGCTTCGATTAATTGAAAAGAAACTATTTTAAAGCACTCAGTATTGATTTGTTACTAACAATGATTTGTATTAATTGCTACAAAATTTTTTTGAACAGATATTTTTAGATCGCATTAAGTGCAGAAAAGAGAAAAATACAAATTCAGCAACAGCTGGTTCCTTTTGGCTTTATTCCAAGGTATACCATAAAAATGTGATTTTATTATAGCCTATGATACATTAAAGGGCTTTGTTCGCAATATAAATAATGTAGTATTATCTTTATTACCGCAATATTTATTAATAATAAGTCATAATCACAAGTAATGATTAATAATGTCCAAACTTGCGAAAAACGAATGCTTAAATGAGACCAACATTGGGCGGAAAGGTTCGAGAGAACTTTAATGCTAATTACGGAGATGGATTCTAGTTTATACGCGAACTGTGTAATTTAATTCCATTGTACTCATCAAAGTTAGTGCCCCGTATTTTATACCTCGCAGTGCGAAACTTCAAGTTTTCGCGCGGAATGGATGAGGGTTTATGTTGTGACAGTCCGCCAACTAGGTTATTATTTTGATATCGTTGCTATTTCAATACAAACTCTAAATAATATTAAATAGTAATATTAAAAATTGGGTTGGTAATTTCTTTTCCATTTCATTAGAACCTGGATGATTGACATTTGTGAAATCATATAAGAGAAGACGCTTGAACTTTAATGGAGAGTACCAAGGATGTTATTATTATTATTTCAAGTCTTATGGTAGGAATCTTACAACCTCTTTTTGCAACTGGTGCAGGCTGCAGTGCTGGTCAAGATGGTTGTGACGAAGTGGATGAAGCATTTTCCCCACCACATAGTTTTTCAACTGCTATAAGGAAGACGATGTACAAAGATGAGTGTCTGAGTTGGAAGAAAGAAAGATCAATGCTATATTAAACATGGGAGATGAAGATAAGGGAGATGACCATAAATTCTTTTTAAGTTTATTGTCCTTGAATTGAATTGTTGTCTTTTATTACATACCTAAGTGTTACAACGAGTCTCTCTTCTGGTATTACTTGCTCTTGAAGACTCAGTAAAATAATTTTATATTTTCTGGAGATATTTTCTAAAAACCGATTCTTGACGCAAATTTCTTCCTGGTTTTATGTAAAATGTGTTTCCATAAATAGTTGTTTTCATCTAAACGAGATTTTTAGCTACATCACTGTTTAGGTAATATTATTATTACTAATTATTAATGAAATTGTTATTTTTGAAACGAGAAAATAATGCAATGTTTTTATTTTAAATCATGCAGCACACAACAAAAAAGTTAACTTAAATTAATTTAAAACAGATTGTACATTTCTCAATAGAACAGACTACTAGTAGTTAAATTTTTAATCTGTTGACCTATTATCGGTTTGTTGAGTGCAGGTCAACGAGCCGTACAAATAAAACATTTGCCCTTTAATCAATTTTATTGTTGTGCGATATAACTGTTTAGGAGTGCATTTTTAAAATGTAATATTAGAAACTCGATTTATTTCGTAATAAATGCTAAACTTGTATATAACTAAACAAAAATCTATGTTCTGAATTTGAATCTCCACCAAAAAGTTTACAAATACTTTAACGTTGTTATTTCAAAACGTTTGGTATACATAAAACTGATAGTTGTTTAATTTGTAATCTGTTGATCTATTATTGGCTTGTTCACTAAAATATTTAACTAACAGATTTGCGCTTTAATCAATTTGATGGACACGTGATCTTTTCTTACATTTTCAAAGGGTAATTTTAGAAGAACGATTCATTCGATTTTATTATTTATAGTAACAGAATTAGATTGATAATTTCTTGTACATACGAAACCTTTTAAAAATTAACAGGTATAATAGGGCTTGTCTATCACAGTGATGAACACCAAAGAGTTTCCCTAACGAGAACTGAAGTTTTCAATAACTTTTTGGTATAATCAAGTACAGACGCTTGCCGTGTCTATGCAGCACGGTTTACGGGGGCGACGATGCTGGTAAATTTAGCGAGACTTTTCGCTTTCAAGCTGAGAGGCTGGCTGTAATCTCATTTAAGTACTACCAAGGAAATTGGTAAACCGCAAGCGTTCAAGGAGAAACGTGTACTTCATTTTATAAAACAAGTTATTTTTCAAGCATGATAATTTTTTACTTACCTATATAACATTCGTTCTTGTCGATCAGCTTCCATATAAATCTTATAATACATAAGTATCATAACCATTCCAGGGACCCAAAAGCTTACGCTGGATGAAATAACAGAGTAGGTTCTATTCACGGTGAACGTACACACTTGAGGATTTTTCTTTCTAAATGCAAGTTGAACATCTGTGGTGTACCATTCCATAAATATTGGTAAAAATGAGACCAACGCGGGGCTACACCATACTATACTGAGCATTATAGCCAAACGGGTTGTAGTCATTATTAAAGGATAATCGAGGGGTTGCACTATCGCGTAATATCTATCAACACTAATACAACATAAATGTAATATAGACGCAGTTGAGAAATACACGTCTAAAGAATTCCACACGTCGCACATAAAGTAACCAAAGAGCCAAACACCACCGGTCACCTCTACACTAAAATTGAAGCACATCGCCCATATAGCTACCAGCATGTCTGCTAGGGCCAAGCTTACAACGAAATAGTTTGTGATTACACGTAATTTTCGGTGCCTCATAACGGATACTATAACTAATAAATTACCGAACAATGCTGCTATGATTATGAATATCATTACAGTGGTTTTTATCGCTACTAAAAAGAACACTATTGATTTTCTCAAGGAAGACTCGCCATCAACAGCGATACTGGTCGTGTATGTATAAAAGGAGCCATTTCTGTATATTAATTCGGTTCTATTTAATGTTTTATTAAGTTCGTTTGTAAAATTGTCTTCGATTGTGGTCGGTAAACCGAGGATTATATCTATTTTATTCATGATTGTTGAAAATTAAGCTCTTGAAACTGGTTGGTTTGTAATATGTGCGGTTAAACCCTGAAACAAACAAAAATAACAGCTTAGTGTTTTAAATAATTATTTTTTTGTTACTATTTTTGTGTTTGACATACTCCGCGATGTAACAGAAGTAATTTGAGTAACATTTTTAGCCATAAAAAAGAAGCGGTCGAGCAATGTTCGGTAAATTGAGCAAAGTTTGTTTTAGTAACCCTGAGGGTCCACCTGGATGTTTTCGCTGCCAACGTGAGCCAATTTGCCATACAGGTGCGTCTGTTTATTTCAACGCTGTTCGTTTTTTGGCTTCATCGAATGAGATGCTACATGACCCAATTTTTATATTCCACAAAATAGGAGTTGAAATCAAATGGAAACGAATTCTGTGCATTCATATTTTCTAATAATATGAATAATAAAAATAAAATGTATTTATTTGCAGCAATTAAATTTGAAATCGTATATGTGGCTCAACATAATATTAGGTCTAAATGAAATCGCATTTATTTCATACAAAGTAGTACTTTAAATCACTCTACCACAAAATTGATGTCCAACATCATTACCTCCGCTTTGTTGGAATTTCTTCATTGCGACATATATGTACTGGTTAAAAAATCAGATTCCTTTGTATGTAGCCAAAGTGGGAACCGCAAGCAACCCGGAATTCACTTCCACATGTCTTGCAGCTTAAGCAGCACTCACTTAAAGTGCAGATTAAGCTACGACCTACAAATAAGTTAACAAAAATCGAAGGTCATTATAGCAACTACCTTGATGCGTCTCATTTATGACCTCGAAGAGAATCTTGAAATCGGCAAAGAGAATTTCGAAATCGTGCAGGAGTTTACGTATCATGGTTCCAGCGTGCACTAGAAGAAAAACTGCAGTGTAGATTTGCGAGGGCGGAGGCGTGGAAAATTAGCAGGAGAGACACCGACACTCATCTTCGAGAGGAAAGTCCTTCGCACGATTTTCAAAGGAACGTGGAGACCCAGATACAATTATATCAATTGCTAGGAAAACACGAGGAACCAGATGTAACGTGTACTATAATGACTAGAATTAAGGTCATGCGACTGCAATTGGAACAAAATACGGGAACAAGGAAGGCATAAAGTCAGGTATTGTAGTTGTTTTGTGTTTTAATAATTTCTAAATCAGATTTGAATTTCAATATTTAAAGAAAATATATTATAAATATAATGGAGTGAGCGTGGATGGTAAATTAAATTATTGAAAACTTTGAAAAAGTTTTTGATGCTTATCCTGGAAGATGGGGTTCCACATCGGGGATCAAATGCAGCGTTGGGGTCTTTAATCCACAGACGGAAAAAGTTTTTTTTTAACTTAGAAAAAAGTTTTAAAGAATATTGATTTGTTTAAGTAGTAATCCTCAATTCAAAATTTTATAATAATACAAGCGAGTATTTTAAAACTTAATTTCTGAGCTTAAAATTAAAATGTTCGAAAGTTGCAAACTTCAACTAACTTTCTTACGGAGTTTCCCAGGTGACAGTCCCGAAATTGGCAAAAATTAAAAAAAACTTTCTAGATTCCTCTTTAAATAGCAAGAAAATTAAGGCCACTTATTTTAATTATATTTATGTTCAATATTATAAAAACAGTTAAATGAAGTTATCTTTTTATTGAAGGAAGATTTTTTTTTCCTAACAACCAGAAGGTCACATAGTGTATATCTGATGGTTATTATTGTTTGCCTTTTATCGATCTTCAAAGTGAGCTTTAAATAATTCCACGTGGTTCCGTCGATTGACCATGAAGCACGGGGCATTATGTTGTTGCGTCTAACTATTAAGCAATAATTTATTTTCAAAAACATCACAGCCAATTTTAAAGCTATTTGCAGGTCACTTTAAAATAACAAGCTATAATTTGAAACAAATATAAATAAAAAAATGGGATGATGTTTTATGAATTTTTAATTATACGTTGGTCACAACACGTTTTACGTCAAAAATAATTAATGGTATCCCACGATTACATTGTAGAACGTGAGACTACATTTTTTACAGTAACCATTTCACATTTATCAAAATGTAAAACTCGTTAAAAGAGATAATGATGAAACCACATTAAATAGTTTACAGCATCCTTTGAATATTAATTTTCGACGTTTACATTACACGTCTGTTCGTAAAGGAAATAAGTTTTTTTTTATAAATTTTAAACTAAACTTTTAATTAACAAGCTAAAGTAAACGTTTCACATGTTTTTGCGTAAGTTTTACAATTAATAACTACCTTACGTAAATAGAAACGTCCAAGTTTTAAGCACTAAATTCATGATTAAATTTCTTTGTATGAGTCATATGGGACGTAAAAGAACTAATATTCAGCTCTTGGGAAATGAAAAGGAGGCATTTATCTTTGAGAGAGATATTTCAAAGAAGAACTGTAATAATCCAACTAGACTCGGATACGGTGTTATTAAAATCAATATTCATATTTAGGGTAATGACAATTGTTACCTACCAGGCACATTGAAGCATCATACATCAACACTGTCATCACTAATGTAAGTTTCGTGTTTAACTTGGAACCGGATAGAAACTCTTAATTTCTGTCTAGTTGCACTTTTAAAATTGCAAGGATTTAAATGAACTCATTAACTAACTACTTATCATTAATCTAATTAATCTTAAACATACCTTGAATTTAAGTTTTCGGATGCTATGGAAAGTTATTTAGGTTCTTATCCGATTTGTAATACGAAATAGCAAAATTGATTTTTCTCTTTTTTTATATAAATGTGGAAGTGCACACAAAGTTAGTTTAGTACTCGCCCGGAAGCTTTCTGAGTCGATTTCATTCTCCACTTCCATCCGCTTTGGACCAGCACGCGAAGTCTACTGGTGTAATTCAAGTTGGCGCGACTCTTCATTTTGTGCTACAACGCCGACGCGATCAGAATAGTAGTACGCGTGTCTCTTGAACATTGTTTTGGCACACTCGCAATCGCGTGCTGCACTAAATCTTAACGCCATTTCCATTTACTATTATGATAGCAACATTAATTTACATCTGATGTTTATGTTTATATTTTAACATTTGTGGCTTCAAACACTATGAATAATACGACGTCTTTAATAATAACAAGCTCATGATAAATTATTTGTCTCATAAAACTTTAAAAGATTGCATATCACAGAGTTAGGGACGTAATAGTAGTTAGTATTACTGCTTGAAAATTAATGCATATCTTTTCAAGAATGTCAAAGACTCACATAGCTTACCGAAAGGAATATATTGTTTGCAAAAACCAAATAATCATTGTTGAAGAGTATCTACTGCTTGAAGATGATTAGATACTGTTAATAGAGAGATGGATAGTGTTTAAATATGAATGCACAACTGTATGAAGCATGTCGAAGACCCACATAGGTTGGCCAAAACTATCTACTGCTTGCAAATGACACTGTTGAATCCACCCCTTTAAATTTTTAGGTACGTAGCGTGATCGTTTCTGATAACCTGATTCTCATTACCTACAAAGGACAAAATAATGTACGAAAAAGACTGGAGAGTGCTATTAGAAGACTAGATACTATCTGTAGCAGACTAAATCTTGCTTGCAGAAGACTGCATTTCGTTTGAAGCTTGTAGAAGACTCACACTGATTGAAGAAAATCATATACTGCTTGCAAAATGACACATTCTTACTACAGAAGTCTAAATACTGCTTCCAGAAGACCAGATGCCTCTTACAGAGTACTAAGAATTTGTTGCAGAAGACTAGATATTGTTCCCAGAAGATGTCACTATTTGCAGGAATCTAGATACTGAATAATACTAAATAAAATATAATTTGAATCATTTCTTTAATCTATATCAACGCCATCTAACGAAATATATTAAACCTATATTATTATTTATAAAACTTATTATTTATTGGCAATTTCTGATTACAATTTAATTTTTAATTTATTTTTACTTTAACAATATAAACAAAGCGGATTATTTGATTACAGAATTTGCGTTCCATTAACAAAAACGTAAATGCAATGGAAATGAGGTTTAATACGAACTAAACGGCTGAGATAAACGGATTTGTTTGAACAAGTTCGTTCCTCGTCGGCTATTATATGAAACAAAAGGGATAATTTTAGACGTCGATGTTCTGTTATGTTATATATTTTTGTTTCAAAACGTTTTGTTATTGAATTTATAAACGCTTGAATATATTATTATTCTATATATTACCTATACACTTCATAAATTTAATCTTCACTATAAGTTTATGTACATTGCGGAATCAAATTAGTTGATACAATAAATAATTCAAAACTTTACGTCTGAAGAGTATCTCGAGTTTCTACACGTGATATCCATGTTTGAATGAGGTAAGTGTAATTCCGCCAATTTTACGCCATGAGCAGATATAATAAGCTCCTTAAGTTTTATTTATTTTATTACAGCTGGGGCCGAAACGGCGAGTTATTTTTGCTACGTCAGCTATTCGCTTTATGATCCGCATTGAAATATCCATTAAGGTAATTGAGTTATTGATTATACATTTTTAGTGCAAATATATAAAAATTAACAACGGTCATTGTAAAACTTTGTACATAAATAAGTATAGGAAGAGGTAGTTGTGATAAAAGTGTGTTCTTCAACTCGCAAGAATAGTAATTTTCTGGAGTGGGTCATATTTTACCGAACACTTGAGATATAAAACAGAAATGATGCGTCAACGCTACATCTCAAGTAATAAAGATTTTTTTACTCCGTTTCTTTATTTCTGTAATCACGAAATTCACTAAAAGTGATTAAATTTCAAGTAGAAATTATTTCAATCAAATGAGAAAAAATTAATTTATCTACAGAATCAACTATAGAAAATTGAAGTGAAATTCAATTTCATTAATTTGAAACGAAGTTTTCTTTTAAATTAAAAATTAATAGAAATTTCATACCAGTTTCCTGCATTTAATTTAATGAGATGCTGTATTTCATAAATTAGATTACAATATTTCTTTATATCTCATTTTATTATTATTTTAATTTTTCATTTAATTCCATTTTAAATTTAATTATTCCGTATAACGATTGTTAGAAGAACATAATAAATTGCGACGTTTGAGGTAGACCAAGAGTAGCTGGGCACTTAGAACCAGGGTCTTGTGGAAAAAATCAATACCAAACTTTTCTCCACAAATAAGACAAAGATCTTTGTGGCAGTTGAAGGTTGAAAATATAAATATAAGATCAATAATGGAAAGAAAAAAAGAACTAAGTAGATTTTTTTAAATAAGGATTGATGATTCTCCTTATACCCTTATATTTATTTTTAGTATATATACGAAAGAAAACATTACAAGCTTTCCAATGCCATTTATGATCAAAATAGGTTGACCCCAACACTATTACTTTGAAGTTGGCGTCAAAAGAAAATGATACAGAAAATATATTATGTATTTTTTATTAAATATTTATGTATTTACACATGAATGGTATGTATGGATTGTGCCGTGCAAAGTTTACTTTCGGGGATAAACGCCAGGAGAAAATTCAATATGAAAGTTTTACCGGTACCTACACAACTGGTAGATAATGCATTAAAACTTTGAGTTTCGACAACAGATGTTGAAACTTTTGGCATAGCAGTTTTACTGGTTCTATGTTCGTTCATGGTCAAACTCCAATGTTTCAACTTTCATACGGATGATATGGATTTAGGACACAATAGGCGGAAACAATGGCAAAATACGAGTATTCTTAACAGATAACAGATGAATTTGCAATATGAATTTACGAACACTAACACGCTTCAATAAAATTTTATTCAGTAAATCAATAACTCCTTCCGGTTTATTTCTAACAAACTTCCGACTCGATCGTTTTTCATGTTGGAAATTTAATAATAGTGTAGCTCTTCTAAATGAAGTACGCCCACTTGTTATTGCGTGTTGTGTAGGAGACAGGGATTTATTAAAATTCCAAAGCGGTGTAATAACAACTCCAGGTTTAAACACTAAAGCTATAAGATAAAATTGTATTGTCTGCTAAGTTTTATTGTCCAACTTTTTCTATCTTCTTCCATTCAAATTACGTTTTAATTGGTAACAAATGATGCTTTGGGTTGATCTTAGTTCTCAATTAGTCCCCGTTTTAACGATTTTTATTTATACAGACCGTTTGAATGAGACGATACTTTATAAACTTGTAATTAAAGAAATTGTTACAGACTTAAATTAATAAAAAAAATATATTTTACAGAAATGGATATTATCGAATCTTCTGAAACAGAAATTGTAGTTAACTGGTTCGCTTTTCAAGCAGAAATGTTCGCATCGCATTCCCGTCATAAATCAAAGCTCAAAGCGGTAATTTGTGACCTCCACTTTCATCTTTCGCTTTGTATACCAATTTCCGAAAAGCTCTTCCAAATTGTATGAACGATCGTCAATTTAACAGTATTTTCGATAATGCTATTTCACTCTCGCTTTTTTATACGTTACAACGAAAAAATTTTTCTATGTATTATTAATAATCTGTATTTCATAAATAGAACTGCATTGTTTATCGTTCGGCAAATTGTAACGCTATGCTTGATGTTGAAATCTACTTCTATAATTAGCTCTGCGACTTCATTACAAGTGCATGGATTAACTCATAATGATGTGGTTTGGTTTTAGATAAATAAATATGAGACGTAGCAATATGAGTTAATTAATTTTAAGCTCGGTTAAATTTTGGGCTCAGAACGTATGATTTTAAGGACTTCGCTTCAATATGCGTAGATAAATTTTGGATTGATATGGTAATAAAAGTAACGCCTTGGCTGCAAGCGGCCACTTAATCTAACTAAAACTTATTGGAATGCCCATACCTTGGCATGATCTCTTCTACTCTTTTATTGCAGCGTCTACATAAAGATTAAACATAATTAGTGACAAGTTGTACTCCTCTTTGCTAGGGGTATATTGCATCTGACAACTTATTTTCGTGTTAAATATAGGCGATACTTTATTTTATTTATTTTATTCGATTACTTTTTTATATATCTTTCAAAACACTTTACATAATAAATTTTGTGTAACGGTCGAATTAATTTAACCGAGTTTAATTCAATCGAAATTTCGGATATTATCACTGTTACACGTTTCAATACTAATTTCATGCAAAACAGTAGATCGACGAGATTAAAATATATCGAATTGTTTGCATCCGATCCACTATTGGATCCGATTAATTTCAACGAAAATAATCAACCACGGTGTTAGGTATCCAGGGGTATTTTTCCTCGGTAATGACCGTTCTATTAATAAAATTTAATCCGGTCGAGTTTTCAGAGGTTTTGTTTTAACCCAGACGCTACCTATCGATTCATCAATATTTAATACCTCGTGTTTCGCGTAGGGTCACGAATCTAAAATTTAATATGCTAACACAGTCGGCATTAAACATATTATTCAATACTTGCAATGCACTGATTATAGAGAACGGTTTCCATTAACAATAATTAATCGAAAATAAATGGTTGAATACATTTCATTTCATTGTGGTATCAAATTAATGGAATAGCAATCGAGAGTTATGGGTTAACTCAATAAATGAAAACTGAAGGGCTCTATTGCTTTGCATTATAAAGGAATTTACCTACAAATTGAGTAAATGTACACAACGCAAAGTTATTTTCCAAACAAAGCCGCGTATACCTCCTAATCAAACAAACTAACACAAATAACGTACCGAAACAGAAATTTTTCTGTTCCACCTAAATTCACTCATATACCAGAGCGTTAACATCGACTAATATTAATATGATCAATATTAATTTTTAGGTGAATTTAGGTGAAGGTTGTCATGGCTAAACTGTAGTGGCT